TCCTTGTTTGTTGCCCACTATGTAGCCCAGGCTGACTTTGAACTCAGTGATCCTCCTGCCTCAGCCTCCTGAATGCAAGGATTATAATCATGTACCACCACACCTGACTAGAACCTGTGTCTTTAAGGACAAAACTGAGCCCCTAAATCTGTCACCTCTGAGAAGTGCTCTATCCTGGAACTTGCTGCTATGTGAGACAGCGCATTTCCTTGACATCAAAGAGCCCGGGCTGGAGCCAGGCACCCTGCTTCTAGTTCTTCAGGGCTGGGAGCCAGCTGCACTGATGGCCTCGGCCACTCTTACCTCAGTTCAAAATCACTGTGGTCTCAACTCTGTCCCACTCACCTGAGATAACAGGGTCAACTTTGTACTACCAGCTGAGAGGGGCTGGGGGTTTAGCTCAGCGGCATAAGCACCTGCCTTGCAAGCAGGCAGTCGTGAGTTCGATCCCTGGTACCGATAAAAAGGAAAAAGACAAAAAAAAAAAAAAAAAAAAAAAAAAAAACAGCTGAGCTTACACCTGCTGTGGAGTCCAGGCTTACCTTGAACTCACAGTGATCTTCCTGCCTCAGCCTCCTGAACACTAGAGTTACAGACATGTGCCACTACTCTTCCGCTCCAAAGTTTTAAAACCTCTTTGCTTGCTGGTACACACCTGTAGTCCCAGCACCTGGGAGGCTGAGGCAGGAGTATGACAAGTTCAAGGCCAGCCTGGGATACAAAGAGAAACTCTGTCTCAAAAAGATAAAGTAAAACAAAGAACCAAATGTATTTATCCCCTCTAGGACGAATGACATTGTGATGAAGGGAAAAGAAGGCTGGGGCCAGTTACTGGTCAGACCCTTGACCATCTTTGTGGGTGCTCATCCGTTTTGCCCATGTGCCCCACTTTCTTATCCTAAGGACCACACCCAGTTGCTTACTTGGTGGGTGCCCTGATTCACTTTGCCCCTCTTCTGCCCAAAGTTGTAACTCCCTGCCTGTTGTCTCAGGCTGCCCCTGAGGGCCACCCTGCCATGGCCCAGGCTTAGCAGCGGTGTGGTGGAAAAGAGAGGCAGAGAAAGACAGGGTACTCGGAACCATCTGCTCTCAGGAGAACATATCCATCACATCCAGGATGCTGGGTGGGTGCTGTGCCCAGCCCAGTGCTTGGGAGGCTGAGGCGGGATGGCTAGAGCCTAGGAATTGGAAGCCAACCCCTGCGAGAGAGCCTGACTCAGAACGGTACCTTCTGTGACTGTAAGGCGCAGGAAGTCTAGATGCATATTGGTGCCTCCCGGCTAGCCTTTCCCCTGGGTCTTTTGAATGAAAAAAATCTTCTGCCACTAGGGGGAGACAGAGTTCTTTATAGAATTTTGTCAGTGTTAAAATTGGGGAGAAAAAAACCTTTGCTTGTGTCTCTAGCAGAGAAGAAACTGGCCAGCATTTCTAAGGGTGGACACACAACACTCCTCTGGGCAGGCATGGCGCAGGGCCTTTGCACGGCAGCCCCATCTCCACGGGCACCCTGACTCCCTTGACCCAGGTCGGTCAGCACTGCAGTCAGCCGGGGTGCCAAGACTGTGGTGGCCCCTACGTCTGTTGTCTGTGTGTCCATTCGGGTGCTGTCCATTGCAGACACTCTTTCTTTATTTCTATTGTTATTAGCTGTGTGTGCAGTTTGTAATGATTACATTCCCCACTGCTACATGGACCTAATAGGTCTTACTTTCAGACAGTCTTGGTCCACCCCCTTTCACGGGGTCTCAGTGAAACAGTTTTTTTTTTTTTTCTTTCTTGCCTTTTTTTGAGTCTGGCTGTCACCATGTAGCTCAGTCTGTCCTTGAACTCACAATGTAGCATAGGCTGTCTCTGAATTTGCAGCAATCATCCTGCGTCAGCCTACTGAGTGCTGGGATTTCAGGTGTGCAACACCACACCCAGCTGAACAGTTTGTTCTGCAGGGACTGTGCCCCAAGCCTGCCTGCTCTGGTACCTTCAGTAGGTCAGATCCTGGCCCAGGTTCTTGATTTTGTTTCCATGAACCACATGATAGTCCAGCCCCTGCCCCTTTTTAAATTCCATTGATTCCAGCGAATCAGTCTGTTTCTTTTAGAGCTGGCTGATATTTGATGTCCATCCCTCACTCCTGCCATGTTTTTGACCCAGTAATTACTAGAATGGCACCGAGTCTTTGTAATGAGGCAAAGCCCCAGTCCTTTTATTGGTTCTCCTAAAATTTGGGAAAGGATGCATGTTCTGTATCATAAATTTCACAAGGAATTATTTGGTAAGTTTTCTTTTCTTTGTTTTTTTGTTTTGCTTTTTATTGAGATAGGATCTCATTCTGCAGCTCAGGCTAGCCTTGAACTTGTGGCAATCCTGTCTCAGCCTCCCAAGTGCTGGGATTACATGGTGTACCACCATGCCCAGCTCAAATTTGGTAAATTTGCTACTAGAATTAACCCCTCTCACCTTTTTGTGGTACAAGATACTGAGTTCAAAGGCACTGGCACCATGATGTCCTAGACTTTACTTATTTAGTTTTTTGAATTAGGCTCTTTGTAAACTGTTCAGTTGGGATTTGAACCTAGGATCCTCCTCCCTCAGCCACATAGAGTGCTGGAATCACAAATGTTTACCACACAACTAGCTTTTTACTATTATTATTATTATTATTGTCTTTTTGAGACAGGGTCTCACTATGTAGCTCAGGCTGGCTTTAAGCTCACTTTATAGATCAAGCTGGCCTCAAATTTGCAACAATCAGGGAGTTGGGGGTTTAGCTCCACTGCTGTGTAAGTGCTTGTGGGGTCATGAGTTCAATATCCGCCCCCCCCCCTACCAAAAAAAAAAAAAATTGCAACAATCCTCTTTCCTGAGCCTCCTAAGTACTGGGATTACAGGGGTACATGACCACACCTGGCTGTTTTTTTTTTTTTTATGGTGCTCCCCAGCACCATAAAAACATGCAAAGAACTGCATTTATTTGTTGGTACACTGCCATTCTATGATACATGTATGAATGAGACACTCTCAAAATTTAAAAAGGGCTGAAAAAAAACTGTGGTGGGAAGGGCCTGGGACTATAGACCGATGGGAAAGCCTTGGTCAATAATCAGGAACTACTCCTGTCATATCTATATCCCTATCTTTATTAATTTTTTTTTGTCTTTTTCTCTTTTATCGGTACCAGGGATCAAACTCAGGACCATACACTTGGAAGGAAGGTGCTTATGCCGCTGAGCTAAATTCCCAGCCCACCTTTTTTTTTTTTTTCAGCACTTAGGGATTGAACCCATGGTCTTTTCTTTCTTTTTTTTTTTTTTTTTTTTGGTACTGGACATCGAATTTACAACCTTGTGCTTGTCCAGCAGGTGCTTATGCCATTGAGCTAAATCTCCAGCCCAGCCCCTCCCCCATCTTTTTTTTTTTGAACCCACATTCTTGAAAATGAATGAGCTATAGCCCTCTTCCTTTTGCTTTTTTTTTTTTTTTTTCCTGGACAGGGTTTGGCTAAGTTGTCCAGGTGGGCTCAAACTTGTGATCCTTTTGCTTCAGCCCCCCAGAGTGCTAGGCCTGGGTCCAAATTATTATTTTTTTTGTGTGATTCTGTGGATTGAACCAGGGCCTCTGCACTAAACTATCTCCTTTTTTTAAATTTTTGAGTCAGGGCCTCTCTGTTAATACATTGTCCAGGCTTGCCTTGAACTTTCAATCTTTCTGTCACAGATGCTTGACTAACTGGGATTACAGATGTGTGCCACTGTACCCCGTGAAGTAATTTTTTAATAAGTTTTGAGTCCATGATGATTACATTCATCTTAGGGAATTGGTACATGTATAGAATACATTTTAATTTTTTCTCTCCCACTCCCAGAAAATAATTTTGACTTTTGGGGGGCAGGAGTACTAGGAACTGAACCCAGGGACTTTGCACTGAGCTATATTTATTTTGCGACAGTGTCACTCTCCTTATGCAGCACAGGCTGGCCCTAAACTCAGGATCCCAGAGTGTCGGAATTACAGGGTGCACCACTGTGGTGGGCTACACTAAGCATTCTTTCAAAATTCAGTGTCTTTGTTCCAGTTGTTCTCTAGTATCTGGAATGTCTTCTCCTCCTTAACCGAACACCCACCACCCCCACCCCGCGTCTCCCAGACCCCTGCAGGGCCTAGTGAGTGCTCTACCACGGAAAAACACCTCTAGATCCTTTACTCAGTTTTAAAAGTCCTGAAAGACTAAGCCGACGTTTTCACAAACTGTAGTTAACTATAGATCGTGTGCATCCTTCCGCTACGGACAATCACGTTTTGTTAGTAATTGTAAACCTTTCTTCCTCTATATGAGCCATTCATTCACTCTTTAAATATTAACTAAGCATCTGGAGATGACAGGTTCTGTCCTCGGCGGGGAGGATGCGGTTGTGAACACGCCTTGGTGAAATCTACGCGCATTTAGAGTACTGAGTTGGTGTGACTGGTTGTTCACGATTGTAGGGTGGGGATCGGCGTTCGGAAGTACTTGTAAGTTATTCATTCGGCACTGCCCCGCAAGCGAGAATAGCAAGGGAGAAGTGCTGATATTCCGGACGCAGTTGTGCAAGGACCCCGGAGCAGGTATGAGCTGAGGTGTCTGCAAGTCCGAAGTCAGCAGAATGTCTAACGCAAGCGAGGGACCGACAGATTTCTTTGGTGCTCTACCAGGCTTTTTCTTTCCGGCGGTGGCTAACGATGACACAGAACCTCCTCAATGTTGTTAACCGTCTAATGATCGGGTGTAGGAAACTGGGTAAGAGACTGAAGCCAGAAAAAGACGCAGAGCTGTGTCCTGGGTTAGCTGCATGGGGGTGAGGGCGGAAGAGGCTGGCAGCTAGGCGCGCCCAAGGCCCTCACGCATGCGCAAAGCCGCACACGCGTCTTGTCCGTTGAGGGGTCGGCGCGAGGGGGCGTGGCCGGCGTCCGCGCCGGAAGTGGGTTGACTGGGCGGGCCCAGGAACGGCGGTGGCGGCGGCTGCGCGCGCGCGGGTGCGAACGGGAAACACCGCGAGGGCCGGGGCAAGCGGAGCGGTGGGGACGAAGGACAGCGACTATGGCCGCGGCGGCGGGCGGGGGCGCGGGAGCGGCGGCAGGAGCAGTGGGGGCCGGGGGCGCGGGGGCGTCGGCCGCGGGCCTGGCTGTATACCGGCGGAAGGACGGGGGCCCAGCGAGCAAGTTCTGGGAGAGCCCGGAGACGGTGTCGCAGCTGGACTCGGTGCGCGTCTGGCTGGGCAAGCATTACAAGAAGGTGGGTCGCGCGCAGGTTCGGGCCGCGCGACGGCTGAGGGGGACGGCGGGACCGGGGCCAGGCCGCCCCTCCCCCCGCGCCACGAGGGACAACAAAGGCCACGGCGCCACGCCCCCGCCCGGCCTTGGGGTCCAGGTCTGGGTTCTGGTCCAGGTCTGGGCGTGGATCTGGATCCGGCCCGGCCCATCTCGAGCCCATGCCCTGCTTGGAACCCGCTCGCCCTTAGCGCGGGGGCAGCTGTCGCGCAGCCGAGCCCGGGGCTGCGTTCTGCCCTTTTGTTGGCATCAGGTGTGAACAATGGGCGTGAGGTCCGAGCTGCTCGGGAGTGCGGGCGAGTTCTTATCGAACCAAGGCTCAAGGCTGCTGCCCGTTGTTGGCTTGCTAAAGTAGACGGTTGGCCTCGGAAGTTAATAACCCAAACTGTTTTCAGAGTTGGTGAGAATTGCAGAACTGTTTAATAAGGACAGTTTTTAGCCGGGCTCCCCTGACACATGCCTTTAAATCCCAGCACTCAGGAGGCTGAGGCAGGAGGATCGCCACAAGTTAGAGGCCAGCCTGTGCTATGCAGGGAGACCCTTTCTCTTTGTACTTTGTGTGATGTATGGTGTGAGTACAAGAAGAAAAGGTAGTGATCATCCATAGATAATGTGGCCTACCCAAAAAACCCCATTTTATACTACTTTTATTTTCTTCGTAGTGTTTACTGCTTGAAATTTTTCCACATTCTTGTTCTACTTTCGGATGTAGGTTTACTGAATTAGTGGTTTTTCGAGTTGTGCTTTTACTGCTTATTTAGAATACAGTTTTCAAAATTTATCTTATGTACATATTCAGAAGTTACTCTTTCAGATGTTAAGCAAATCACCAAAAAACTGTTATGCTCCATTGCAAAATGTTTCTCCTTGTTTCTTTTTAATTCCCAGAGAGGATCTTGTTGCCTAGTTAAGGTTGGGCCTGAACTCATGGTGATCCTCCGACCTCAACCTCGAAAGTGCTGGGATTTGAAAGCATGGCTCCTCTTGCAGATTTCAAGAACACCCTCTTCAATTGTGCATGTCCTCTGAGGAACATAGCACTGGGCAGTTTTGTTCAGTGTGTCTAGAATGTGGTTGGTGGTTGTTACTTGGTACCTAGCAGCACCTCACCCTTAATTGCTTAGTAAATACCCATCAAATAAATAAAAGAAGTCAAGTACAGTAGGAACTGGTCAGGGTTTGACATTTGTTAGGCATGCACAGCAGTCTTAGGTTTTTCTGCCCTTCCACTGTGATACTTTCACAAGTGGCTATTTCTTTTTCTTTTGTTTTATTTATAGGGAAATTCATTTTTTGAGTCAGGGTCTTACTATGTAGCCCAAGCTGACCTCAAACTCCTGATAATGCCCCTGCCTCAGCCTCCTGGAGTACTGGGACTACAGGCGTGTGCCATCATGCCAGGCTCAAGTGACCAAACTGAAATGAGGAAGTGAGATAATTACATTGTTAGGTGCTTTGAATTTTTCCCCTTTGAAGTCAAGTTTGAAATTGTCGATTGCTTCATCTATGCACAAGTAAATAAAATGAGAAGAGGAGCTGATGGGAAAGAAGTGGCAGGAAATGTCATGTACAACTACAAACTCTCTTAAGATGAATATCATCATTACTTCTAAAATGTACCGAGAAAAACTAAGAGGGAAAAAAGAATATTGCTCTCACATACACTGATAAATTGGCCACTTTGTTTGTGGAGACAGTAGAGCTTCTGAAACTGGCCAGAGGAATTGAGTATGTTGTGAGACTTTTTAATTCTGTTTCTTTTTTATCGGTACCGGGGATCAAACTCACGACCGCCTGCTTGCAAGGCAGGTGCTTATGCCACTGAGCTAAATCCCCAGCCCCTAATTCTATTTCTTTAGAGACAGGTTCTCACTCTGTAGTTCAGGAAGGCCTTGAAGTCACTATGTAGCCCATGTTGGCCAGAAACTTGGCATTGATCTGCCTGCCTCAGCCTCCCAATTGCTGTCTTGCCCAGCTTCTTTCTAGCATGTTCCCTTCACCCAAAGATGTAAGTCAGTGAAGTGAGGGGCTAGGGATTTAGCTCAGCGACATAAGCGCCTGCCTTGCAAGCAGGCAGTCGTGAGTTCGATCCCTGGTACCAATAAAAACAAAAAAGACCAAAAAAAAAAAAAAAAGTCAATTGAATGTGTGTGTGTGTGTGTGTGTTATATGTATGTGTATAGGTCCCTCTCAGGGTTTCTCCAGCATGTGCTCTACCGCCCTCAGTCCCTAAGGAAGTTTGTGGGGTTTTTTGTTTTATTTCCAGCACTGGGGACTTGAAACAACCTGGTTAAGTCACTGAGTTGCCCAGGGTAGGCTCAAATTTTAATATTTCTTCCTTAGCTTCCAGAGTAGCCAGTGTCTCAGTTCCCCAAGTGTATAGAGACAAGTCAAAAGTTACATTTGATTTCTCTGGTCTTTGTAAAACAAGAGGGACTGGTGGATTGAGAGACAGGGTCTTACTCTGTAGCACAGGCAGGCCCTTCTAACCTCACAGTGATCTTTCTGCCCCAGCCTTCTAAGAGCTGGAATTACAGGTGTGTGCCTCTGTCCCTAGCCCTAGCTGTAGTGTATTTCTTGGCTCTACTCAGATTAGGAATTGTATGTGCCTTTAGCTTAACAAGCAAAATCCTTCCAGCTTTGGGATATGTGCTAAAATAGTGAAAGTACTGATCAGAAGTTCCTCGGGTTGTTTTCTACTTAATAGAATCCTGCATATTGATAGGGATTGATTGATTGATTGATTGATTGTGTTACTGGGAATTGAACCTGGGGCTTTGCCCATGCTAAGCAGTCGCTGTATCACTGAGCTGCATCCCCAGCTCTATTTATATTTATTGGCATGTTCTCATCGTTGTCTAGGCTGGCCTTGAGCTCACTGTTTAGTTCAGACCGGCCTCAAATTTAAAATCTTCCAGTCTCAGCCTGCTTTGGAGTGGGATTGCAGGTAGGGCCTACCATACTCGGCCAATGGGGTTTTAACTGTTTCATGTTTTTCTGCTGTGGTACTGGGGTTTGAACTCAGATCCTAGACACTGAGGTACAATCTCTAGCCCTAATTTTTTTAAGAGTAGGTCTAAATGCTAAATTGCCCAGACTGGACTTGAATGTGTGTGTGGTTCTTCTGCCTCAGCCTCCCATGGAGTTGGGATTACAGTTGGGTGCCACCACATTCTGCAAGTAAATATTTTTAAACACAATATTTTCCGAGCAAGTGTAGTTTAAATATCAGCCCATAAGTGGAACGAACATGATGTTGCTAGTCATATTTTATTGGTAGGTTTATTAATTTTGGTTTTTCGGGAGTCACTATGTAATTCAGGCTGGTCTCAGACTTGGAGTGATCCTGTTGCCTTAGCCTCCCAGGTCCCGGGATGTATTGGTGAGTTTATATAGGTATATTAAAAAAAAAAAAAAAAAAAAAAAAAATATATATATATATATATATATATCCAGTGAGCTACTGTATGCCAGTAGTTACATTTCAAATATAACTACTGAAACATAACCCAGGCTGGGAGTGTAGTTCAGTGGTAGAATTTGTATTTAGCATGCACTGGGTCCTGCATTCAGGCTCTAGCACCAAGAAGAAGAAGGAAAAAAAAAAAAAAGCCAAAAAATCCCCTATAACTTAGAATCCTCATGGAGTCCTGAATGCTAGGTACTGTTTTCATTTATAAATGAGGAGAACCTGAGGCTTCACATTTAAGCACTTTCCCAAAGATCATGCAGTGAGATTTGGGGAACATGAGATTTGGTGTTCTGCTTGGCTCCTGTCCTCCCTATTAAGTTTTCCTTGTTTGGTGTGGGGATTGAGCCCAGGGCACAGCGGGTGGTAGGTAGATGCTCTGCCAGTGAGCTTGTGCCTGCAGCCCCCGAAGCCCACATTTGTTTGGCTACATGTAATCCATCTGGTGGGACTCACAGTCTGGTGGAAAAGATTGTAAACCTACTTGTGAGACCTACGTGATTTCAGGATAATAGAAAACTTTCAGCTGGCTGTGTTGGCATATATCTGTAATTCCAGCATTTTGGAAAACAGGCAAAAAAAGGATTACAAGTTTGGGCCCCACCTGGGCAACTTAGTGACACAGATCCTGTCTCAAAAGGTAAAGGCTGGGGGATCTAATTCAGTGCAGAAGGTCCTGGGTTCAATCTCCAGTTCTGTACCCAGTATATAAATTTCACTGTGTGAATGAACAGATTGAGGTTGGAGCCTACTTAGTTTACTAGTTTACTTTAGGCTGTGTTGCTAAATTTGTTTAGTTCCGGTGCCACTCACAGTGGAGAGGGAATAGGTTTTGACCCCGGTGAGCTTCAGCTGTGGCAGAAGAGCCCTTGGGGGTGAAGGCCTTGGGCAAGGGAATTGGAGGAGGCAGGGGATTTGGTGTTTGCCTGTTAAGTCTTGTCAGGTGAAGCTGCAGCGGGGTGGGGGTGTGGGGGATGTGGGGGGTCGTTTCTTATGCCTCTTTTGTGCTACTGGGAATTGAACCTACTCCAAGTCTAGTTTTTACTTTTTTCCATTTTGAGGCAAGGTATTACTGAGTTGCCCAGGCAGGGCCCTGAGCTTGATTCCTTCTGCTTCTCAGAGTGGTGGGGTATAGATGTGCACCACTCCACTAGGCTTAGATGATGAATCCCTCCCTGCCACTTCTGGTCTCAAACCGAAGCAGCTCAGAGGCCTTGGAAGTAAAGTGTTACCTGCCAAGCCATTAAGCTGCCAGGCCAGTTTCTTCCCACAGTTTGGCTGCTTCTCTGTTTTGTTTTTGAGGCATTGACTGGCTCTGTTGCCAGATCGGCCTCTGACTTGTGGCTTCTAGTGACCCTCAGCCCCAGCCTCCTGTGGGACTGCAGGTACATGCCAAGGCACCTGCTTCGCGTCTTTTCTTTTTTTTCCTTTCCTTTTTTTAACTCTGGGGATCAAGCCCAGGGCTCCTGCTTGCTGGACAGACACTGCACTGCTGAGCTACATTCCCAGCCCTTTTCTAAAATTTTGAGAGAGGTTCTAAGTTTCCAAGATTGGCTTTAAACTTGCCATCCCCTGAGGATGCAGAGGGGAGTATGCTAGGTGAACACTCCTGGCACATTTGGATTGTGAAGATTTCTAGCTGGAGGCTCTTGTGCTTTCCTGTAGATCCATTTCCTTGGGAGGCTGTATCAGGAGGATTGCTCAGGGCCAGCTGGGCAATATCATGAAATCCATGTTAAAAACAGATAAAAGTTTTAAAATGATTGCTAATATTAAGCTAGATCTAGAAGAGAAGGCGTTTTTCACCCTTTACATGAATGAATAAAAGACTGTCACAGCTTACTCCAAGTGGGATGGATATTTTTATGCAGTAGGATTAAGAGCAGGTTAAAATTTTGATACTTACTCTGTAGGTAATATGCAGCAGATTTATTAAGAAAACTAAACATTTTGTTTGTTTGCTTTGGTGACAGTGATTATTGACCCAGCAGCTCTCACGTGTTGGGTGAGCACTGTCTGCCTGTGCTGCATCTCCAGCCCAAGAGTGTTTATTTGTGATATTGGAGACTGAACTCAGTGCCTTCATACTGAGCTTTCTCCCAGACCTTTTAGGAAATACTTCTTTGATTCAGATGTCACAGGCTCGGACTCTTGGCCTGAGCTTCCCAGTCATTTCCAGTGTGAGCCACTGTGTCTGGCTGAGAATTTATTCTTTTATGAAGATAATACTGTGGCTGGGTATGGAGGTGCATGTCTGTAATCCCAGCACTTGGGAGGCTGAGGTAGGAGGATCACTGTGAGTTTGTGGCCAGCCTGGGCTCCATAGTTAGTTATATGGTGAGACCCTGGAGAAAAAGTGAAATTTTTACTCTAAAGTACATTTTACCTCAAAAACTGGATTTGGTAGATTTTGTTGGATATTAGCAATATGTTATAGGAAGTAGGACTTACAAGTATTTCTTGACATTTAAAGAATTGCTAAACTATTCTTTTATAACTTTTGATATGTGTGCTGGATATCCAACCCAGGGCTTTTATGCAAATATCCTGTTACTGTGCTGAATCTCTTGACTCGTTTTGTTTTTTTGTTTGTTTGTTTGCTGTTTTTGTTTAGAGAGAGTTACACTGTGCAGTTCAGGCTGACCTTAAACTCACTATGTGGCCCAGGCTGGCCTAGAACTTGCAGCAACCCTCCTGTTGAGGCCTCTGAGGTGCTGAGATTTACAGGCTTGCAGCACCACACCTGGCCTGCGTTTTGTAGTATTGTTTTTCCTTTGTCTTTTTGCTGGCCTTCAACTCACACAGTTCACTGTGTGGCCCAAGCTAACCTTGAACTCCTGATCTTACTGTGTCAGCCAAGCCTGGCTTGGTACAGGGGATTGAACCCAAGCACTGAGCCAATATCTCCAGTGCTTTTATATTTCATTTTCAGGCTGGGTCTTGCTAAGTTGCCCAGGTTGAGCTTGAACTTGAGATCCTCCTGCCTCAGCTTCCCACAGTCATAGTATTATAAGTATGTGCCACCTGACTAGTCTTATATTCTTAAAAGTATAATTCCAGAACAATAGTGTCACCTGGGCTTTGTTTAAAATGTAAAGTTTTGGGGCCTGATTTAGTGAATTAGAGGTCTGTTGAATAAGAAACTCTGGGCTTGGTGCTAGAATCAGCTGATTCTGTAGTATGGTAAAATTCGAGGGCCGTTGCATGTCCAAACTGCTGTCTTTTTTGCTCCTCTATCCACTGTTTCCTCCTAGTTTTTGAGCCAGGGCCTCACTGTGTAGTCCAGGATGACTTTGAACTTAGTGTGTAGCCCATGTTGGTCTGGAAGTTACAGCAGTTCTTCTGCTGCACCACCTCAGCTGGCCAGCTACACCACTTGTCAGGACTGACTGCCCTTGTGGGTTCTGTTGTCAGGTCAACGTGTAGCAGGTGTGGAGCCAGCAGTTGATGGCACTGGCCACACTCCACTTGTGTCACTCTAGGCTCCATCCTTGGCCTTGGTTTGCCCTGTATTCATCCATTCATGGAAATGGTTATAGTGAAAGACACACGGCCAGTGGCCTCCTTCACCCCTCCCCCATGTCGGAACATAACCAGTCCATTGCTTGTTCTTTTTGTTTTGAGACAGGGCGTCACTATGTACTGCAGACGTCTGCTGCCATGCTTGCCTGGCTTTTGCTTTTTGTGGTGGTGGTACTAGGAATTGTACTTAGGGCCTTGTACATGTTAGGCAACCAGCCTGCCACTGAGCTACGTCCCCAGCCCTTTGCTGCTTTCTGCAGCAGCTCCAGAAGTCGTCTTTCATGAGTACTTTTCACGGGTTGTGATAAAAAATACAGTGAATGCTGCTGCTGAGTGCCATCCAGTGGAATGGTAGGCTTGTGAAAAATCTGTAGTGTGTGCTTATCCAATTAATCTTCTCCATAATGATGGGGGAGGGAAACTTTATTATCTTTTTTTTTTTTTGAGACAAAAGAGAAACGTTTTGAATTGATTCAGGATTTTGAGGCCACCAGGACAGCACAACTAAAGACTTTCAGGAAAGAGGACTTACAGAGCTACTGCAGAAAATGGCAAGAAGGATGGGCTAAGTGAAGAGAGTGTTTTAAGGGGGTTAATGGTAATGTGTCTTTCATCGTATTAATTTAAATATTGATTAATTTTTGATATGTGGTGCATTCCTACCTTTTTCATGTTTCTGAGGGAGGGTTTTGCTGAGTGACCTGTGCTGGCTCAGTGCTCCTTTCTCAGGCTTTGAAATAGTTTAGATTATAGGCATGCAGTTGCATACCTGGCCCATATTTTGTTGTTGTTGTTATCATTACTGTTACTATTTTGTGGGACTGGGGATTGAACTTGTTGTCTTCACATTGAGCTATACTCTCATTCCTTTCTCTCTCTTTCTTTCTTTCTTTTTTTTTTTTTTTTCTTTTTGTACCGGGAATGGACACTTGCCGAGCTGGCATTGTACCACTGAGCTAAATCCCTGACCCCTTCTTTTGTATTTTGAAATAGTCTAGCCAAGCCTTGAGTTGCTGAGGTTAAGTGTGAGTTTGAAGTCCTCCTGTCATCCTCCCAGTGTGAAATTAGATTAGAGTAGGCATACCTCCACCCTCCCCTGCTCATCTGAATTATTTTTATGTGTGTACACATCCTTGTTTTTCTGACTTCCTTTGACCACACAGAGCATGTCTCAGCCATTGTAAATTGCCACAATGCCTGTGCCTGGCAGGTGCTGGAGAGTAGCCCACTTTCTGCCCTGCAGCATTCCGCCAGCTGTTGAGTTTCTGTCTCTGTCTTGCAGTATGTTCACGCCGATGCTCCTACCAATAAAACACTGGCTGGCCTGGTGGTGCAACTTCTCCAGTTCCAGGAAGATGCCTTCGGGAAGCATGTCACCAACCCCGCCTTCACCAAACTACCTGTAAGTAAATTCACTCACTGTGGGCATCTCTATTTCTGTGCCTCTGGTCACTGATAGCCTGTGCAGTGAGAAAAAAGAAAATGGATGGATTAGCAACGAATTTAAGGAACAGAATTGTACTTCTTTTTAATTGTAGGAAGCTGCTCTTCAGGAGTTGCTGAACATGGGTGTTAGATGGTATGGTAATGTTTATGAGACTTAACTTGTCATACTGATGTTAGCGTTTTCTTTTGTTTTTGCAGTGTGAGATATTGAACCCAGGGCCTTGCACGTGCGAGGCAAGCAGCCTACCACTGAGCTGTACCCATAGTTCCTTTCCTGGATATTTGCAATTCTGTGTCTTGTTATGATAGTTTATAATTTAAAGGTACAGTGTGAAGGTTCATTTCAGTTCATTTTTTTGGTGCTCAGTGGGCCTGAACCCTACGGACACACTTGCCAACCTAAAGTCAGTTGTGTTCCTTCAGGTCAAGGAATGGTCTGTTACTCTTATCTATTTCATACTTATATCTTTGAACTCTGAAAATACTAAGGAATACCTAGATTTTTAGGAATTACCTGTCATCTTTTTTTAATAATTTTTGTCTTCCAATTTATTTGTTTGGACGGTTGTATTTTCCTACATTTTCTGTTTTTGTTGAAACAATCGATATTTTTTGCTTCCCTCAAAATTCCAAATGAGTTAGTATTTTACCATTTGCTCGAGCCTTCCTTTTCTGTGTGTGTTTATAATTTTCTGAATCATTGGAAAGCTCCATATTTCTTTGTTTCTATTTCTTTTACATTATGGGCTGGGTTAGATTAGGAGCCGGCTGAGTTTTAATTGCTTAAAGTACTGTTAATATTTTGATTGAGTACTATCACATATAACATAATGTAGGATAAAATTTATGCATAATGTATATTTTCTGTGAATCAATGATTTTGGTATCCTGAACAAAGAATGTATGAGTGTCTTCTGAATGATATATACCACAGGAGATTTTTTTTTGTTTCAGGACAGGGCTCTGTGTGGTCTAGGCTGGCCTTGAACTCAGATTCTTCTGCCTCATCCTGCCTGTGTGGGCCACCATGCCTGTTTGACTAGCTGGGCTTTATTTGTGGTGTATTTAACTCCTGGGCACTAAGCCATTATTTACTTCCGGATTTTAAAGATTAGGGTAGAATATTTTTAGGCATAAGCCATAATTAAAAGTAATTCATGGTTTAATGCCGGTGAGACTAGATGTACTTCTCATTTTCCAAGTGAAAGGGGCTGGTGTGATGTGTCATGGTGTTAAAATGGGTGAGACAGTCAACAAACCAGGAATGTCTTAGGTGTGGAAGCTATTTGCCTGAAAAGTTTTTTTTCCTGTATAAAGAGCGATAGTGTGAGATTTTTTTAAACAATCAAAGTGGAACTTTATTTGCTGAATTCCTAAGTTTTACTTGTCTCACAGTGTATGTTCTATAAAATGATTGAGAAGTTAGACTTGGGAGAAAAAAGGATATCACAAAACTAGAAATATATTGCATAGGTTAACATAATATGAATTGAAGCATTGAAAAATATTATTAACCCTTCAAATAAAAATTTTGGATGGGAATGGCAAACACGTAATCCTAGCACCTGGGAGGCTGAGGCAGGATAGCTGTTTGAGGCTATTCTGGGCCAGCTAGTTAAAGGGCAGGCTGAACTACATAATGTGACCCTCAAAACGGTGGTCTAATGTTGAGCTTCACTCTCAGCCCTTTCTCCCTTAAACGTTTTTTTTTGTTTGTTTGTTTGTTTTGTTTTTGAGACAGGATCTCACAAAACAATGCAGACTGGCCTCTGACTCAGAATTGTGCCTCAGCCTCCCCAGTAGCTGAGATTGTGGGCCTGCGCCATCAAGCCTGGCTTAGTCCTTTTACGGGCTAGTAGGGAATTTGAGTTACTTCAGTTTTTTCTTTTTTTCAGTTTTTAATTCGTGGTGCCTGGGCATGCTAGGCAGGTGCTTGCACTGAGCCACACGCTCAGCCCTTTTTGAGCTTGCCAAGTAAAGCTGCTCTGTTACTGTTAGTTTCTGTGATAGTTTTCCTTCTCCTGCCTAAATCCGCACTGCGGAATACTTTTCAGAAACATCACCACACTTTCTGACCTGGCTGCTTCTCTTCATATCGCATTTAGTAGTGGGTTCCACTACCTCAGCCTCCTTGGCGGTGTTCTCATGGGATCGTCTTGTGTTTTAATTTGCATTTTCTCAGTGACCGATGGTGCTGAATGTTTGTGTGTCTCCTTTGAGTGCCTGTTGAGAAAAGTTACTTGGTCTCTGGCACTGCCCTTGGTTCAGAGACTCTTACGAGCTGTGCACTGTCGGGGTTGCTGTGCTCCTCCCCGGGGGTCTGTTCCGCCAGGTGGGAAGCAGAGTCCTCATTTGTGTCTGTTAACTAGCCTGCAGGGCAAGCACAGGGAGCTGAGGCAGGAGGATTGCTCTAAGTTTGAGGCCAGCCTGGGTTACAGAGTGAGACAATGAGAAAACATAGTTAATTGGCCAGCAGCAATTTGTGTGAGATTTCCTAAATGCCAGTCTTGAAATTAGGCCTTAGTAAGGAGGGTCATCTGAGGCCTGCTGTGGTAATTATTTTCTGTACTAAATTACTTTGTTTGTCTTTTATTTTTATGTTTTAATTTTTTGGTACTGAGAATGGAACTTTCAACCTCACACTTGCCAGACAGGTGCTGTGCTGCTGAGCTGTATCCCCAGCCCTGTTTGTCTTTTGTTGGTACTTTTACTTTGCTTTGGGCGTGCTGGGGATGGAAACAAGGGCTCTTGTGTGTGCCAGGCAAGTGCTCTGACACTGAGATACATCCCAGTCTCGATTGTTTTTTTTTTTTTTTTTTTTTTTAGTGCTGGGTGTGGTACCCAGGGTTTGCATTCACTGGGCAAAGGCTCTGCTACTGACTGAGTCACATCCCTGTCCCTGTTATAAGCTTTTTGTGGTTTGTTAGTTTTGTTTTTTTTAAGGCAGAGGCTATTGTAGTCCAGGCTAGTTTCGAACTCCTGTCAGTCTTCCTGCTTCAGACTCCCAACTGCTGGCGTTACAAGGCTGCACCACCATGCCTGGTTCAAACCCTAGTATTGTAAGACTTGTGAGTATCAAAACCAAAGACTTCAGTTGGCATTGATCTCTGCAGTCTTTTCTGTGCTGTCTGTATTTTCTGGCTGCTGGTCCTCTTTGGCTGCAGCAGCCAGCCCTTACCTTGGGCTGGGAGCTAAATAGTCATGTCTCTCTCTCTCTCTCCAGCCTTGTGGGAAGCCTCTGTCTTTGTGCCCATTTCTTGAAAAATGTTCCTTGCTTTACTGATTCTATGAGGAACTTGGGAGAATCCCAGAACATGTGACAGTGAAAGCTCATTGAGAATCAGTGTGAAGAATTAGGTACCAAACCCTGAGTGCCACACCCAACATGAAGGAAAAAAAAAATACACACACATACACACATGACAAAAAAATTATAACTGGATTATCTGAAGAAGTTTCAGAGATTTGGTAGAAATTGGGTTTCAGTGGCTTAGTAGTTTACGGAACTTAGATCTGAGAAGGGATTACTGGGTTTTCCTTTGGTTGAAAAGTTTTCCTGGAAAATACAGGAATGTAAGTGGAAGGCAGTTACATCATTTAAAGACTCCACCGGGCCTGGGGATTTAGCTCAGCAGCATAAGCGCCTGCCTTCCAAGCAGGCAGTCGTGAGTTCAATCCCCGGTACCGATAAAAAGGAAAAAGACAAAAAAAAAAAAAAAAAAAAAAAAGACTCCATGTACTTGTTTGCCACCTCCTTTCAGCTTTCAAAGAAGGCCCCAAAGAGCCCTGGTTTGTTTGCCTCCAGCGTGTTGAGACGTGGAAGTGTTTCCACAGCAGCTGCTGCAGTGGCCCCGCAGGACGTGAGGACTAGAGAGAGCTGCATAGCTCTACTAATTGAAGTCTGTGTTTAAGAGTCCTAATTCTCTACTTTTTCACTAATGCTTCGAAATTGTGCCTGTTGTTTTAGGTATTTGATGGGTTTGTGTTGGTATTTGGTATACTTGACACCTTTTCATAGTTATTGACCATTTGTGCTATGTAGTGAGCTGTATCTTCGGGTTGGCCTTGAATTTGTGGTCCTCCTTCCTCAGCCTTCAGAAAACAAGGATTTAGTGCCTGAACCTTTTCTTATAGTTTTTAATTTGGTAATGTTTTTCACATTAGTATAGTATTACATTAGTATAAGGAATTTTTCTCATGTATTCTGCATATTGATCATTTGTCAGAAATACTTATCTTCTCGGTGACAGCTTATATTTTTAGACTTTATAAAGGTGGTTTTTAAAACAGAGGTATTTTTTGCTTTTTTTCATCTTTCTTTCTTTCTTTTGTTTTTTTCTCTTTTCTTTCTTTTTCTTTTCTTTTTTTTTTGAGACAGGTTCTCGCTGTGCAGTCCAGGCTGGTCTTGAACTCACTACAGAGCCCAGGCTGGCCTCAGACTCTTGGCCATCCTCCTGCTTCCCAATTGCTGAGATTACAGGCCTGTGCCTCCACGCCTGGCCTGGAACAGAGGTTTCCAATATAGAACAGAGATGTTTTGCATTCACATCTAGCTAGTCAGTATTTGGTGATTTTGTGTGGTCTTTTTTGGTGTCTTGGACATACTCATTCTCCATGCTTTCGTTTACCTCTTCATGTCTATTTCATGGCATAGACATGTACTGATGCAGACCTAAATCTGTCATTGTGAGTCAGGCTCCCCCACAGACCCTGTCCTCTCCTCCAGTGACTAGCACTGGCTGTGCCAGTGAAGCTGACGGCCCCAGCTGAGGCTGGGTCTGCCTGCTAGTAGTGTGCTGGTCATCAGAAAGGTGAATCTGCCACGTTCATTGCCAAGGCTGTCATAGATGAAAAGGCTGGAGCCTGAGGGTCAGGTCTGTGGCTCCGAGGACACGGTTTGAAACCCTGTGGTTAAAGACACAGTGATGTGCAGCCACGGCAAGGGGCAGGAGCTGCGGGCTGCATGTGTGTATCCAGCTTCACGGCTCTTCACACAGTGCATGTTCAGAAAGTGACTGTTGGTGTGACCTGAGGATGGGGTCCTGTGACTTCAGCGGGTCACCCATTGGACACCCACTCAGCCAGGTCAAAGAGTGGTTGGCTTGAACAGAATGGACTTCAGGTGCCCGAACAGCAGCTTAGCCGTTAGCAATTGTGACCTGTATGTCAGAGGTGTCAACCTGTAACAAAGCCAATAGCTACCTGATCTGTAAACTTGGTGATGAAGGCAGTTAACTAAAAGAAACAGAAGCTTTAGTCAGGGTTTTTCTTGGGTTCAAAAGGAGTAAAGAGATAAGGACACTGCAGCATGGCTGAAAGCACTTGAAGTAGTATGGCTGATTTCCCTGCAGTTCCACTCAGTGGAGCAGTTTAGATGGATTACATAAACAGCAGAGACCACTGACATGCACTGGAGCATGGGCTTAAGCCTCCAGATTAGCAGCCAGATATGCGCACAACTGGAGCTGCCCCAGCTGTGAGCTGTGACCGGGGTGCACCCAAGCCATGCTCAGCATCGAAGTGTGGTACCTCGCTGGTTCTGGCAGAGGCAAGTTTTGCTACTCCATTGCCCTTTTGTTCTTAGGTTTCCCATTACTTCTCAGAAGGCTCTGCCACCGGTGAGGCTGTGAGGGTAAGATCTCGTGTAAACTCCAAGAATCTCTTTGTTTATGGAGAATGTTCAAGATTTTTTTTTTTTTTTTTTTGAGATAGGGGCTTACTGTGAAGTCTAGAATGGCCTTGAACCCACTAGGCTGGCTGACTGGCCGGCCGGCCTTGACCTAGAGATGATCCTCCTGCCTCAGTGTCTCAGGTGCTAGAATTATGAGTGTGTGCCTCCACACCAGCTGGAGGATATTCAGTTTGTAAAAAAATTCTGTCCCTTGTTTGTTTCTTTTCTGTGTGTGTTTGAGTTGGGGATCTTTTTTTTTTTTTTGTCTTTTTCATTTTTACCGGGGATCAAACTCATGACTGCCTGCTTGCAAGGCAGGTGCTTATGCCGCTGAGCTAAATCCCCAGCCCCCTAGTTGGGGATCTTGCTGTGTTGTCCAGCTGGTCCCAGTGTGCTGGGATGACAAATAGGCTTGAATTTGGAATTCTTCTGCCTCAGCTTCCCATAGTGCTAAGATTATGCTGTGCTCCTCTTTATTACACTTGAGACAGAATCTTGGTGTTAACCCTGTCTAGCCCTGAACTTGCATCCTCTTGCCTCAGAGTCCTGAGGAGTTGGGATGATGGCGCATGCCCAGACGCTCAGCTTTGCTTAATAATGTTTAAGTGTATAGTTTGGGGGTGTTCTGTACATTTATTTTGTCACATAACCTCTGTCACTATCCATCTCTAGAATGTTTCATTTCCCCAAACTGGAATTCTGCGCTGATGAAACACCTTCCATCCTGCCCCTCCCAGCTCCTGGGACTACCATCGTGCCTGTTGCCTCTTAATGTTTATGCCATGTCATTCTTTTCAGTCTGTTATTCTGTAAATTGTGACAGGCTTTTAATAGCATTAAAGTTCTGATTTGAGTGGTCATTAAACTATTACTAACAAACTAGCTTCGTTATAATATTTCTATAATCTAAACTAAGGTATCAAAAGGAGGAAAAATTGCCAGGTATGGTGGCACATGCCTGTAATCTTGCACTTGAGAGACCAAGACAGAAGAATTGTGAATTTAAGGACAACCTAGGGTACATGGTAAGAGCCGGTCTCAAAAACAAAATCTGCTGGTGTGCTAATGTTTGGGGTTTTTTTATTCAAAGGTAAAACTTGTTAGAAATTGTGTAACTAAAATTTTATTTTGAATCTTTTAAAATTTACTAATGGAATTTGTAATAAATTACTTTCATCCATTAGTTTTTTTTTTTGAGACAGAATCTTGCTATTTACTTCATAATAGCTTTGAACACAAGGCTGTCCTCCTGCCTCAGCTTCCAGAGTGCTGGGATTACAGGGATGTGCCCCATGCCCAGCTAGTGTTTCCTTTTGAAAGTTTCATGTTTTTTTTTTTTTTTTTTTTTTTTTTCTTTCCTGCACTGGAGATTAAAGCAAGGGCGCATACATGGTAGGCAAACTGTATGCCACAAAGGTACCTACCTACTCTTAAATTGTTTTTTTAAATTTTTGATTTTTTTTTAATGTTTTTTTAGTACCAGGGATTGAATTTACGACCTTGTGCTTGCAAGGCAGATGCTTATGCTGCTAAGCTAAATCCCTGGCCCAATTTTTAATTTTTTTGAGACAGGATCTCTTTGTAGTCCTAGCTGGCCTTGAGCTTACAGCAGTTCTCTGCTTAGCCTTGCAAGTGCTGAGGTTGTATCACCATGTGTTTTTAAATTTTGTGACAAAATCTTGCTGAGTTATGCTGCTTTCAAACTTGATCTTGCTGTGTCTTATCTCCTTCCCCAGTAGCTGAGATTACACACTGGGCCTGGCAATGTGTGTGTTTTTTAATTGCTGCTCTTCAAGACTGTTTATTTTTTAAAAAAAGGTCAATGCAATTTAAAAGGAGATGTTTCTTATACATTTTTAGAAACGTTTCTTCATATTTCAAGAGCTGGGTATGGTGGCACATGCTTGTAAACCAAGAACTCAGGAAGGTGAAGCAGGAGGGGTGGAAGTTCAAGATCAGTCTGGGCAAGTGAGTGAGACCTTGTCTTAGTGCAAACAGGATCTGGAGATGGAGCTAAGTCACCCAGTCCCCAGGAATGGGGAAAGTAGTTTAAAGGAGGTTATCAAGTAAGCAAGTATTCATAGCTTTGATTTCTAAAATTTAGAATTTAGGCATGCCATTTTGTCAGCCTTTTTCCCCCTCACATGTACTTTGTATCATTTTTAGGCAAAGTGTTTCATGGACTTCAAAGCTGGAGGCACCTTGTGTCACATTCTTGGGGCTGCTTACAAGTACAAAAATGAACAGGGGTGGTAAGTTTGTGATTTTTAAGTGTTTTAATGTTAAATCACGTTCTTTTGTGTGGCGTTAGAAAACTGTGTAAGTGTAGTGTGATTGAGTTAAGCTAAGTTGTGTTTTATTAGGAGCTCTGATATACTTCGTTCTACATGCAAGCAAAGAAGAAAATGTGTCTCGTGTCTACTAGACAAAGGTTTGGGATTTCTGGTTTGTTCTTGGCTCTGGAGATGGACGCAGAGCCCAGCACAAGCTTAAAATACACCTAGACTGACCTTCTTCGATTCCACAGCTGGCCACAGCGTGCAGTGGTTGTCCTTCGGTGCCTGCCTTCCCTTACCATGGCCTCCTCTAGGCTCCTCCTTGAGACAAATGGCAGGATTTTGCTCTTAATGACTAATAAATGGTATCCCATTTTGGGTATGTGACACCTTTATTTAGCCATTGATCTGTTGATAGGTTTAAGAGTTATTTGGGCCTGGACTAGTGAGCAGTGCTCTAGTTGCACTTGCCTAGCACGCAAAGTCCCTGGACTCCATCCTCAGTTCAGTTTTGAAGAAGGGGGTTGGACTAGTGATAGTGCATATGTCTGATATCCTGAGTCCATTTCTATTGGCCGTATAGCATTGACGAGATTGGCCTTTATGTATTTCATATCTGTGTTTCTTTTGAGCAGCATCCTTAGCACTTTTTTTTCTTTTTTTTTCCCCTAGCATTTTCTATGATTTCTTTTTGAGATAGGGTTTCCCTGTGTAGTTCAGGTTAGCCTTGAACACACTTCGTAGCCAGATTTGCCTGAACCTCACAGCAGTACTCCTGACTCATCTGTGATTTTTTGCGACAGACTCTTTTGCCAAGCTGCCCTCCTGCTTCAGCCTCCCAGAGTGCTAGGATTACAGGTGTGTATCACCGCACCTATGCATAAAGAACGGTAGAAAGACTGGAATACAAATGGCCAATAGCTACGTGGGAAAAAGCACTCAGCAGTATGAAGCACTAGAGAAATGCAAGTCAAAACTGTGATAAGGTTATCTCCTCACCCCAGCCAGGTGATTCATTAAAAAGACAGTCTGTTGATTTTGGTCAGGAGACTGTGCGAGGGTTAGAACCTAGGACCTGTGCAATCCAAGCAGTTGCTCTGCTTTGTGCTGCAGTCCTGATAAATTCTGCCTGTTTTGAAAGCAGAGCCACATTCATTTGCTGTTAAGATCTTAGAGCCTGTGGTTTTTTTTTTTTAAAAACTGAGTCTTGCTACGTAGCCCAGTCTGGCCTTGAACTTATGGTGATTCTCCTGCTGTGCTGGAGATTTCCTTCTAGTGCTGGGATTTCAGACATGTGGCAACATGCCTGGCAAGATTCTGCCTATTAACCCCCTTACCCAGGGTATTGTTCGCAAGAATTTTCTCCTGTCCTCTGAGTTGTTGCTTCACTGTGTTCATTGTTCCTTTGCTGTGAGTCATTTTTAGCTTCATGTAATTTGATTAGTTTATTGCTTTCATTGCTTGTGCACAAGCCATGGTTTTGACATTTGTAGATCCATATAGTTCTGGAGGAAAGGTTATCCACAACCACCTTCAGTAAAAGGGCAGAGGTCAGTGTCAGTGCTTGTGCGCTGATTGAGTGGGGATTTCTTGATCATTGTTACAGTTCTAAACAGATTCCTGTAGGCTGAGATAATATTTTATTCCCTTCAAAGAGAATATTGAATAAAAACATTTGTTTCCGTTTTTTGCTTGGTAGTGAGAAATTAAGCCCAGTAAACATGAAGTTTAAAATTTTTACTAATGCTGAAGGTGACCTTTTAGTTTTGCCTGTTGAACTATTTGCTGCTGATGTTTATTATTTCAGAGGGATGTTTCTGATTTCTGCCCCCATTCCCTAAAGGAAGATTTAAGGAAAAGTTCTATGAAGACAAGGTTGTTGGGGTCAGAGGTCCCTCCTATTTATAAATCCTCCCTCCCCCTTTTGTTTGAACTGAGGACCTTTGCCTTGCTTTGACTCCAGCCCCCAGTTACTTTGTTTTGAGACAATGTCTTACTAAATTGCCCAGGCTGGGCTTGAATTTAGTGGCACTCTTGCCTCAGCTTCTTAAAGTGCCGGGATTGCTGATGTGTGCCATCTCACCCAGCTTTTTCTGTTTGAATTTGATTTTCTGAGAGTCTAACTTGATAAGATTTTTAAAGTTTGCTTTGAACTTGTGAGTCTCTTGCCTGGGATAACAGGCATGTGACCCTGTATGCATTCTGCTAGCCACTAGTGCTGCATAAAATTTTTTTAAAGAACTTCTTTTTTGTCCCCAAGTTGTCTTTTTTGGAGACAGGGTCTCACTTTGCAGTTGGCCTTAAACTCATTGCATAACCTTTGTGGCTTTGAATTTGTAGCAGTCGCCCTGCTTCTGCTTCTGGCTGGCTAGCTCTAGGATTACAGGGTGCACACTACACCTGGCCCTAAATTGTCTTACCAACAAGACATGGGGCTGTAGCAGCAGTGTGTACAGGTTTATTATGTGGAGGAAGGAAGGCAGAAATTTCTTCACAGAGGAAGAGACTTGCAGACTGACTGGAGTGATAATTTCCAGTTCATTGAGTGGGTGGTGACACTGTGGAAAAGTTACAGAATTTAGAAAGAATGGTTTGAGATGTGGGGAGAATCTGTGGGATAAAACAGGCTGGCATGCAAGGCAAACGTGTGAGCTCCGGAGTCCTGCCTCTTGATTGTACCTAGTACATGGTAATGATTTAAAAACTCACAGTTGAGGCCTGGGGATGTAACTGCATGGTAGGGTGTCTGCCTAGCATGTGAGAGACCCTGGCTTAGATTCCTAGCAACTGTTCCCGCCTTTCAAATTGCTATAGCAGATGTTTGTTGATCATCTACCATGTTTTAATAAGCAAAAGCACTCTGTAAAGCTATTCCGTATGTAACTCATTTACCCTTCACAAAGAGCCCATAGTATACCATTACAGTCATGAAATTGATAGTTTAGTGGTAAATTGTTCAAAATTACATGGATGGTGGTGTTGGAATTAGTACCCAGGGCTGCTTGCACCCCAGCTGCTGTTCTTAGACCATGAACTCTGTTCCTCACCCTGGATATTGGTGTTAAAGAATTAAAATGGAGGAAAATCCAAGTACGTGGTAAGTAAAATACATGGAGCATGAAATCAAAGACTTAAACTATTTGAAAATGGCGAGGAATAGGTTAAGCCAATGCCAGAATGTTATGTTTAGTTGTTTACATAAAGAAATAATGAGGAAAGGTTTTAGCAAGTTACTGTTTTTTCAGGTTTTTTTTTTGTTGTTGTTTTTTGTTTTTGTATTTTTGTATTTTTACCGGTACCAGGGATTGAACTCACTACCACACACTTGCAAGGCAGGCGCTTATGCCACTGAGCTAAATCCCCAGCCCCTGTTTTTTCGTTTTTATCGGTACCAGGAATTGAACTCAGGACCGCACACTTGCAAGGAACGCGCTTATGCCGCTAAGCTAAATCCCCAGCCCCTAGCAAGTTATTGTTAATAGAGATTTTACCACCTTAAGGAAAGCAGTAGGCTCAAAGATCAATTTTTCCAAGAAGGCAACGTTAAGACAGAGCAGTATGGAAAAGCTACCTGTGGGTAAGGAGAATCTTGAGATTAGATAGGGGAAGAGTGCTAGATGGAGAACATAGAGATAAAGGGGTTAGAGATGATGGCGGCCAGCTGTCTGTATAGTCCTTTGTCCCAGCCGAAACCTCCTCAGCCTTTTTTTTTTTTTTTAAACTGGGGATTGAACTCACAGCCTTGCGCTTGCCAGTCAGGTGCTTACACTGCTGAGCTAAATCCCCTCAGCCTGTTACCAGCTGCGTTTTTAGCCTCCTGGTCTTATGGCTCTGACAGAAAACCCATCAGACAGCCCACAGCATTGCAGGGCTGATTCTCCTTGCCAGCATCTCCAGCTTTCCAAGCTCTTCCCTCAAGCCAGATCCAAAGGCTACTGAGCCCCACGGCCAGATAGTGTCACTTCTCTGGCACAGTATCTGCTTGGTTACTTTTCTCATTACTGAAGCAAAATACCCAACACCTAGAATTTAGGGAGGAAAGGTGTGTAGAGGTTTCAGTCAGTAGTTTGCTGGTTCCAAGGCAGGCTAGCATGACAGACAGGCATTGCAGGGAGAAACACTCCAGGAAGGAGGCAGCGAGCCTTAGGTTTTCCATTTCATTCCACTCAGGCCACAAGCCTGTTGGTGGTGCCACTCACACCCAGGTGGATCCTCTGTTTCCAATAAATCCATTCAGCCCCACCTAGAACTGTTCTAAGCCAGTGGTGGATGAATCCATATTTCTGGCACCCATAATCTAGTACTGAACACCTGTGAGCCAGCCACCTCAGAGCATCTCACCTGTGAGGGTCTGAGGCCTTAGGGGACGTCTAGGTGTAAGGCATTAAGTCTTAAGGTGTGTTACAAGTGTTAATACTTAGCGTCTGGGCTATCTCCTGCCCTCACATAAGCACAGACTGAGGATAACTTCTACTGTAGAACATTGCTGTGGCCCGTTGGATATTTTACTGGAATAAATCTCATCTGTTCAGTGTTTGACCTTTTTAAAAATGTTTACTTTTGGGTACTGAGAGTTGAACCCACAGCCCTGTGTATGCTAGGCAGGCACTGTGCTAGAGCTACATTCCCAGCCTTCTTGTCTGTTTAATAATATATCTTACAATTACCAAGATGTTTTCCTTCATTTACAAGAACACATTGATAGTTAAATTTAAGCAAGGTTTTGTTTTTTTTTTTTTTTTTTTTTTTTTTGAGACATGAGTCTCTGCTGGGCATGGTGGTACATGACCATATGAACTCATTGTGTAGCCCAGGTTGGCCTTGAACTCAGTGATCTTCCTGCATCAGCCCCTGAGTATTGTAATTACACGAGTGTGCCAGCAGGCCTGGTTTAGCAAGACTAAGCGTATATAAAGTAAGACTAAACCTTACTTCAAATACCTTTGCCTTTGGATATGTCAGCTATTTTTCTGTATTGTGGGATGTAAAATGTGTTAAGATTTTAAAGAAAATGGGAAAAGTTGTGGAATTTATGCTCCATTTGGACTGATGCTGCATTTTTATACCTGGAAGACAGTATGTTAGTGCATTTTGTAGAGTGCTGTTATTACTTCTAAATCTTTATAGTTCATTTGCATTAAATTCTGGAATCAAATTTTTAGTGTTTAATAAAACTTATTAATGATTTTCTTCTCTTTTAGGAGGAGATTTGATTTACAGAATCCTTCCAGAATGGATCGTAATGTTGAAATGTTTATGAACATTGAAAAGACATTGGTGCAGGTAATTATGACAGGTTGTTAAAATTTCTTTAAATGCACTTTTAGTTCTACCATCAACTATATTGAATTTCAAAAGGCCAAATTTAGAAGAAAATTTTAAACAAGTGTTGTTTTATTTTTATGTTTATTTGGGGGATTATTGCTAATTAATGATCCTGTCACTTAGAGACTATCAGTCTTAACTTTCTGGTGGAATAATCGTTTTTTTTTTTTTTAAATGGTAGAAATAATACATACTTTCAAAGAAAAAAATAAACAGTAAGAGATCACTAGTTGATGGTTACAGATTGTCCTCTTATAAGTAGTTATTTAAGCTACTAAAGTGGAGCATATAAAGTGGGGATTCAAACAGTGAGACTGCAACCAGTTCTGTTCAACTATCCAACAAAGACTTAGAAATAATGGTTATCAATCCTGTACACTTAAACATACATGCAATTATCCATATCTTCAATTATATTGAGATTGAACAAACCCAAGCAGGCTAATATCACTCTGAACAAAGAATAATACTATTGCTGGATTTCACATTATGACACTCCAGGATCAGCATTGGGTACTTTAGTGTCTCTTTTTCTTCAAAGTATTTGTTCATCATGTGTCATAAGATCAGTTCTCATAAAATGTTTATAGATTCTACACATGCATGAGTCTTAACATGTATTTCTGTCCTTTCTATATTAGAGGGAGAAACAAAGCAAGACAAAACAAAACATATTCCTATAAACACATGAAACGAAAAAGACATATAAGACCGTTGTACAAGGAGTTCTACCATAGTTCCTGTGTTGTCTCTTGTTATCTTCAATAGAACTGGCTATATCATCAGACATAGTATAATTGAATATTTTAGTACATAACAGTATTAATAAAAATACAACTTTGTATATAGTGTAAAACTTCAAAAACAGGCAGTTATCAAACCAGAACTGGTGGAATAATCTATGATATGGTTGTTCTACCCTGTTATTTGAGTTACCTTTGTTTTATTTAATATAAATGCTGTCTTAGTGTGTCATCATTTTACTTTGCAGCTATTTTCTTTGTTTCATAGTTGTGCAATAGGTATAGATTTGCTGCTGCTAAGTAAATTAGAACCTTGAATGAAAGAATGCTTCATTGTTTTTGTCTTGTCTCTAAGTTTTCTGTCTGGTGCTACTGGGGTTCAAGTTCCAGCACTTGAGTGGCAAACATTCTACCACTGAACTACATCTGTAGGCCATTTTAATAGTAACTGCAAAAATTAATCTGTGCAAGTCATTTGTTCACAGACTGTTAGGTTGGGAAATAATTAATAATAATATTATTAATAAGTAATGTGTTTGTCAGTTGAATTTTGGTCATGGGGGATGGAATTAATTAAACCTGTTTTATTGCTATTTTTTTCCCAAGTCAAAGATGTGGCTGAATGTACTACATTAGACTGTTAAGATAAATTTAGCTAACACTGGCTAGGAGGATTAACCTGGCAGTATGACTGGTACCTTAATGAAAAACTTGCTGAATTTCTTTGTATCAGGATTCTTGATGTTTTTGCCCAGATACAGTTAATAGCAGAGGATGGTTTCCAATGGCTTATGAGCTACCTATGCTTTATTTTCACTTTCTATATCAGGTTGTATCTCCCTAATTTAATAGCTATGAGTTTGAAGGCCAGCTTCTGTTAGGGGAAAGAATAAATAATACTACATAGTTTAAGCACCAGTAGAATTTCACAGTCTGTTCTTCATTCCTCAGAACAATTGTCTGACCAGACCCAGCATCTACCTCATTCCAGACATTGATCTGAAGTTGGCTAACAAACTGAAGGATATCATCAAGCGGCATCAGGTAATGGGCGCAGTCACTCCAGGAACGCTGTGCATTGCTGGGTTTGTAGGAAGTGTCAGTCATAGTTTCCTTGGGTTTCAGGGCTGGATCTAAAGATGGCTTTTTCTCTTGGTTCCTAGAATACCGTTTTTATTTTAAACTTGGTTTTTAGTGTAGGGTAGTATTTAATTAAGGCACCGGAATCAGTTATTATAGATTTGTAAAGTATATAGTTAAAGAGACTAGTGTACTCTCCATCACAGAACTAAATCACAGAAATCACAAAGTTACAGAGAGTTGCTGATACATTTATGGCTACGAGAAGATGAACTATAGTTTGAGTAAACGCATCCATTCCCCATCCAATCACATGTATTTATGTTTTATATTTTAATTTTTTAGTTAATATTTTTGTGAGTGTATATGTGTGGTACCTGGGACCTTGAGCATGCTAGATAAATGCTCTATTATTGAGCTATATCCCCAGCCCATTCATTTGGTTATTTTCATTTTTTAGATAGAATCTTGGCTATGTTGCAGAGACTAGGTTTGAATTTGCAACATATCTGTGTCAGTTTCATGAATAACTAAGATTGTACTCATGTACCTCCATGGCAGGCTGGAAAGCAGATACTTTTCCTGTCATTTTAAAAGAAACACGTATGTAGCTCTTTGTGGTGGTGTATCCGTATAATCCCAGCACTCGGCAGGCTGAAGCAGGAGGGTTACCATGGATTTTGAACCTAGCCTGGGCTCAATAGTGAGCTCAAGGCCAGGCTGGAATGCATAATGAGACCCTGTCTCAATCAGTCAACCTATAAATAAACCAACCAAGCAAATAGCCAGATGTACAAGTAGAATAAAGAGCTGGGCATGATGGCATAACCTTATAATCTCAGCACTCTGGGAGGCTGAGGCAGGAAGACTGCAAGTTTAAAGCCAGTCTGGGCTACTTAGACTATATTAAAAAGAAAAGGGGCTAGGATTGTAACTTGGTGTAAAGGCCCTGGATTCAAAATCTGTCTTCACAAGCTTATGTTTTCATAAGCTTATATTTTGACTCATCTTGAGCTATTTTGTGATATTGTAACCTCATTCTGCTAATTGTTTTAGGCTGAAATTTGGGGTGTGTACTGCATATATTTCTGTGATTAATGACATGGCTAAATAATAAAACTTAATGTGGTAAACTAGCAGAAAACACTAGGTAGAAGATAATTACTTGAAACATCATTTCTGTGAGGTAATTTTTCTGATTCCTAGGATTGGTTGAGAAGCCCCATGAAATAGCTTTATTTTTTCCTGCTGCATAAGAGATTGCCAGTCGAAATGCTTTAGCATTCAGTAAATATCTTGTGTGTTCTAAAAAAAAGTTTCAAGTATGATAATTACAGATCTTATATCATTTTTGTCTTACCTGTGACATCCCTGCCATCAGCACAGATGGGTAGTATAATTATGTTGTCAGATTGGTCAGTGTGAGGGCCATTTCTTGTTTTTGGTGACATTATGTCTTTTAGTAGACCATTTAACCTTTTGTCTTTTGGAACATTTGTTTATTGGAGGTATTATAGCTTCATTAAAAGTAGTGCTTAGTGGTCAGAAATGGAATAAATCACCTGCTGGTTCTGCCTTTAAGCAGAAGTTACTTATTGTTATAAAATAATGCTTGGAAGAGTATGAATTTTTATACAATTAAGATAAATATTTAGCTGCACTCTTTCCTAAGAAATATATTTTAGTGATGATTTGCTGGGGATACTCTCAAGAGGAAGGTAAGAAGGTAAGAGTCTGTCTAGATCCATAGAAATTTTTTTTGTTTTGTTTTTTGTTTTGGCAATGTTAGGGATTCAACCCAGTGCTTTGCAGATGTCAGGCTGTACTCGAGTTTCATGTCCAGCCCACAGACTCTTAAGGAAGACATTTAGGCACTAATATTAGTGCTGGCACTGAATACCAGTAATTGGGGCTTTCATTGAGCATTTTATGTGCATTAGCAGCACACATTGAGCACTTACATTGTGCCCGGCACTAACTTTAGTTCATTGTATCTAAGTTAACTCAGTCCTAAAAAGATATTTATGAGATGGTCATTATTTTCTCTCCCCTCCCCCTTCCTCTCTCCTTCCTCTGTTTTGTTCTGTTCTGTTCTTTCTGTTTTTCTGTCTTTCTAACTGTGGTTCCAAGCCAGGAATGTCTGATGGGCTCCACAGGCCAGACCCTAAATATGTTTTGTGCTTTACTTCATACCCATGGAATAGTGGCACCCTTTCCCACGTCTTGTGATGTTCAGAAATGTGCTTGGACATTGCAGTGGCTGAGAGTTCCTTATCTTATGAGAATTCCTATCTTATGAGGTAGTCAACTCTATAAATAAAAATCTACATTTTTGAATTTTCTCAGCTGAAGCATGAGTAATGTTTGTATGATTATAATGATTGGTGAATATTCTGTTAAAGAAAAAAACCTGAGAATGCAACTGATTAAGACTTTTTTTTTGAGATCAAGTCTCACTGCGTGGCATAGGCTGACCTTGTATGTCATGATCCTCAGCCTTGCTGCTGAATGGCCAGTGTTCTTGTGGTCAGTAGGAGGGGCACTGTTGGTCTAAATGGCTTTCCAGTCATGTTGTAGTGGGTAGACTATGTATAGCATTTGAGTTGTGGCCCGCTGTGACTCCTGTCAGTTTTCTACCACTTGGTACCTCAGCGTGGTTTGAAACTGCAGTGGCTGCACTCCTGTGTGCTGACTCGGGTGTCCTGTTCTGTCCTGTCATGTGTCTGTAGAGCCCATGCTTCTGACTTAGTGCCACAAGCCTGCGTGGTTCACATTAGTTAATGTTAGTTTGCTATGTTTTGAGTAATTTTAAGAATTAATTGGAAATACAGAATCCACATTTACTGATAAGAGATAAACAGAATTAGCCAAGAGTTAAAGGCAGAATATCCTTAATCTGAAACTCTGGAATCTCAAATTAGAGTCGCCTAAAGTTTTATATTATGGATCATTTTAGATTTCTGGATTAGGAATGCTTAGTGTGTAGAGATGACACAAATAGTCCAAAATCTCAAGAACTCAGAAATATGAAGCACTTCGGTCCCAAGCATTTTGCTTAGGGATGACTCAGCCTGTCCGTCTGTAGACTAGTTTTTGTCATTGTTAATCATCCCTTCCTTTGACTGAAACTACTAAAAACAGCCTAAAATAGAGTCAAATAATGTTTTTATAATTCTTAGAGTTTGTAGCTAGCATCTCCAGTTCCTCACTGTGTGTTTTATTTTCACATTGTTTGTTTTACTTTTCAGGGAACATTCACAGATGAGAAGTCGAAGGCTTCCCACCACATATACCCATACCCTTCCTCACAAGAGGATGGTAAGCTAGTGTGGGCGTGAACGGATCAACTCATGCATCATACTCTAAGGCCTTTCCATCATAGCAGAGGAGGTTAACGCACAGTAGCCAGCCTTTCTATAAATTCTATATATATATGTTTCTGGAGATAGGATCTCACTAAGTAGTCCAGGCTCCCCTTGAACTGACTGTGTAGCCCAGGGTGGCCTTGAATTTGCAGTAATCCTCTTGCCTCAGCTTCCCAAGTGCTAGGGTTACAGGTGTTTGCCATCACACCTGGCCCTTAGAGAGTGACGTGTATGGTAGGGACTAATCTGCATTGCTTGTAATCACAGTGCTCTGGGAGGCTGAGGCAGGAGAATTGCCACATTGAAGACCAGCTGGCACAATTTAGTGCAACCTTGTCCCAGCATTTAAAAAAATTAGGATACCTAGAGTTGGCAGGTTGTTGGTGCTTTGGTTCACAGTGCATTTTGGATTGGTGATAAATTGGAGACCAGTGCCTGAGTCAAAGGGCATTACATGAGAACCTCTCACCCCTCCAAGTTCTTAAAAAAATAGAGCAAAGCAGAATGAAAGGGCTGGGGATATAGCTTGGTTAGAAGGCCTTGGGTTTCTACCCAGCTTTGGCGAGGTGGAAAGTGACTTTCAAGTATCAATGCTTCCCCAGTGCTAGGCTCACAGGCATGTGCCACCACATTTGGTTGAACTGGTTTTTATTTTTTTGAGTCAAGGGTCTCACTGTATAGTTCAGATTGGCCTTGAATTTACTTTCTAGCCTAGACTGGCCTGGAATTTGTAGTGATCATTCTGCCTCAGCCTCCCAAATGCTAGGATTACAGGCATGTGCTACCATGCCCAGTTTAACTGTTGATTTGAAAAATGGCTTTTTTTCTTTAAATCAGTGTTTTGCTGTATAGTTTAAGCTGGTCTTGAACTTACTCTGTAGCCTATGCTGACCTCAATTTCATGGTAGTCCTGCCTCAGCCTCCAAGTGAAAGACAATTTTGTAAGTAGAGGAGTTTTTTAAACTTATAGGCACTGACCTTGCTCTAAATGCTCTTTTCACAAGACTGAGTTGGAATAAGCAGTAAAAATTGTTAAACTGACAAACAGATTTATAAGGATGTAACAGTTGAGTCTTCTGGCAAGCATATTATGCCTGCAGGATATGAGAAGCTAGAGTATGTCTGAGTTAGGTGACAGATAACTCCTAGCTCCTAGGGACACTTTTGTTGACCAGTGAATTACACTGCAAGTATAATTGAAAATTAAGAAATATTGTATATTGTTAAACAATCCATGAGTCAAACAAGAAATTATGAGAAAAGTAGTCTGTCTTTGAGACTGAATAATAATAATGAATAGAGCTAGGGATGTAGCTTAGCAGCATAACACCTGCTGCCTCGCAGGTGAGAGACTGCAAGGTCAATTCCTGGTACCAAAAGAAAAAAAATGCAGTATGACAGTAAATTTTGTAAAATGCAGTGTTGTAGTCAGGGGTTGAACAGAGAACAGTTAGAATCAGGATATGGAGTGTTTTTTTTTTTTGTCTTTTTTGAGATGTGGTCTCGCTATGCAGTTCAGGCTGGCATTGAGCTCACTTTGTAGCCCAGACTGGTCTCAAACTCACAATGATCCTCCCACCTCAGCCTCCTGAGTGCTGAGATTACAGGCGTGAGCCACCACACCCGGCTAGCACATGGAGTTTATAATATTATTTTTATAATGGTCACCGTGAGTTAACACAGGAAAATGCAGGAAATCTATCCACAGCACCAAAGACATAGAATATTTAGTCAAGGACCTAAATCCCACAGCAATGTCTCACGTGAGTCCAGATAAAAACCCAGAGCTCATGACAATGCCTCCCATGAGTTCCAACTGGAGGTCCAGAACCAACAAGAAGGACTCACGTCAGTCTCTTTTACGGATCCATGCCAGGAAGGCCCAAAAGTCAGCGGTGGAAGCTAGAAAGTCCATGCCAGCAGAGTGAAAGACCTGTGCTGGTGGGATGAGGGTTCTATGCTGGAGCCGAGAAGTCACACTCACAACAAAGACCAAGGCTGTCTTGAAAAGCACAACAGCCATCCTCAGCAACATGGAGACCCTGAGCTGCTCCGACAACAAGCACAGTCGGGTACATGCCAGGAAGTAGTGTGACAAGTTCATCTTGGAGACCAAGCGGCATGTGTTTTCCCCTCTGGAGCCAGGAAGCAATGCTCAATGTGAGGACCAGAGCGTCTCCAGGAGAACCAACGGCTCAAACAGCATCTCGTGGGAGAACCCACAATGCCTCAATGCAACAATGCATTAATGCCTCAGCATCTTAACAATCTCCTTCTCCTTCTCCACCTATTTATCCTGGCAACTTTTCTCAGGTGGAGCATCTTCATTCAATGCCATGCTGATGTAATCCAGCTGGTGTTAAGTTGGCCACCAGTTCTTAATCTATAACATGCAGTTAGGAAGCTTTGCCTTGAGGGACATTCGTGTGCATATAGTAGAAAAGAAGAAGGGCTGAAAAATCATTGTCCCAAACATCTTTGTCAAGCAGTTAGAAAAAGAATAGCAAATTAATCATAAAGATACATGCATCATAAAGAAAGCAAAAATTAGTAATATACATAAAAATGAGATACCTAGCTATGTGAAATTGTTCTTAGAAAGACTGAAGAAGGTCAGAGAAAAGAATGCAAGAACAAATGTCAAAAGCCAAGGGTAAAAGGGAGCATATAGCAGATGGTACAGGTGTGAAAAAATGATGTTAAACAGAGTGATCATGGGTGAAGGTCAGATTGTGTGTTGGTATCGGATTAGGAAGCCGTTCCGTGGCCCTTTTTTTTTTTTTTTAAAATTTTTATTTTAAGGTAATATTAAACACAACAAAATAGAACATAAGAAAACAATATAAGAGATATAAATTTCAAAGCTAGACAACCTGAGGTCTTCATTGTCTATCATATTGTCTCTTGTTTTCGTCCAAATAGTTGTCCATGCTTTGCATACAGAGAATTATACAAAACAACATAGTATAAAATTGATCCGAACAGTATGAGGAATGCATTTTAGGTTTTCAGAACCAGACAATTGGGAAGTCACTAATGGTTGTCATAGACGCTCTCATTCTCTTCAAAATAGCTGTCCATACTTTCATGTATATTGAAGTTCAACAATAAAACAGGCAGGGCGGGAGGGGTTGCTTGATTTCCTGGCCCTCCATGTCCCAGCTTGGCATGGGTCCCAGTAAAAGCCAGTGGCTCCCATCCTGGGCCCTCCAGAGCCTGCCATGCTCACAGCCACTCACAGTGGGGTTACTTCAAGCTGTTTCTTTCTAATGAATTGACCACTTCACTGCCCAAGTTCTGAAATGGCCAGCAGTAGAAAGACATCTCTTTAGGCTCCTGCTTGAAACCAACAGTGTCAGGAAGCTGCCGGCCTTGATTCAGGGCCAGGCTGGTCCTTTTACTGTACAGTGAGAAACCTCATATTGCATTGGGGTAGGCCCTAAGGTACTAGAATTGGTGTTTTTAATCTTGTTTCCCTGTGAGGTGTTAGCAGCTGCTTTCCACTAGAGGGGGGTGATAGACAGCATATGTTTAAATGCTCATTTTGTTCCTTACTCTGTATCCCCAGTATGACTGGTAGGAAACTTCAGCCTTGGGGATTTTTTGTAGGGAGGAGGTAGGTGCTGATGATTGAGCCCAGGGCCCTGCACATATTCAACCACTAAGCTCTGTGTTGTGAACTTTTTGTTTTTTTGTTTATTTTTTCTTTTTGTTTTCCTAACTTTCTCAGGCTGGCCTCAAACTTGTGATTCCCCTGCTTCAGCCTTCTGAGTGCCTGGGGTTAGAGAGTTTTCATAGATTGAGTCAACCTACTATCTAGGTGTAAGTCCCACGGTGTATACTTTTTCCTAATATAAAAAAATTAGATTTTTTTTGCTGGACGTGGTGGCACATGCCTGTAATCTCAGCATTTGGCAAGATGAGGCAGGAGGATCGCCATGAGTTTGAGGCCAACCCGGGTTACATAGTGAGTTGAAGGCCAGCCTGAACTGCATAGTGAGATCTTGTCTCTCCTCCTCTGCGATTTTTTTAAAAAATTTTTTGAGACAGGTTCTTACTATGCTGCTCAGATAGTTTTCGACTCCAAGTGCTCAAGTACATATTTCTCCTGCCTAAGCCTCCTGAGTGCTGAGACTACAGGTGCCCATTACCAAGCCTAGCTCTGTAATCCTTTTTAGTATGTGGTTGAACTCATTTTTGAAGCTATATATTAGGAGTGTCTAGTTTTATCTGTGTTTTTCTTGTAGTATCTTGGTTTTTGGCTTCTCAGGAAGAAGGTTATTAGTATCTCTTTAGTTTTTAGAAGAGTTTGTAAAAGATTGTTCATTACTGTTCTGTATGTTTAGTAGAATTCTGCAGGAAAGCCTTTTGACTTTGTGCTTTGCTTTATTGGAATTTTTTTTTTTTTTTGGTCTTTTTGAGACAGGGTCTCGCTATGCAGTTCAGGCTGGCCTTTAGCTCACTTTGTAGCCCAGGCTGGTCTCGAACTTGCAGTGATCCTCCTGCCTCAGTCTCCCTTGTGCTGGGATTATAGGCATGAGCCACCACGCCTGGCTCTATTGGAAATTTTTGAATGATTGGGTGAGTTTCCTTACTAGTTAGGGGTATATGCATATTTTGTTCATAATTCAGTCAGGGAATGTTGTATTATTCTAGAAGTTGATTGATTTCTTCTAGGTTATCCATTTTTTTGTTCATACAGTTGACTGTAAGAACAAGAACTCTTTAGGATCCTTCTTCTTTTTTTTTTTTTTTTCCTTTCTCTTTTAAGCACTGGGAATTGATCCTGGAGCCTCACTTATGCTGGGCAAACCCTCTATTGCTAAGTTCCATCCCCAGACCTCTTGTTTTGAGACAGGGTGTCAGTATTTTGCCCAGGTGGCCTCAAACCTGGTGTCATCTTGCCTCAGCCTCCTGTGTAGCTGGGATTGCAGACATAGACCACCTGGCCGAGCTGATGCTTTTTCTGTGGTTTTAGTTGTAATTTTTCCTCTTCTGCTTCTGATTTTGTTATTTTGTCTCTTTTTTAAAGTACGTTTTTGTCAGTTTTGTTAATCTTTTCAACAGACAATCTCTTTGCTGATTTTTTTCCTTTAGTTTTTGTTTATTTTTGCTCGAATTTTGATTATTTCCTTCCTTATGCAAACTTGAGTTCAGTTTTTCTTTTTCTGGCCCTTTGAGATGTTGATTTGAGTTTTTTTTTCTCTTTTCTAGTGTATTTATTGCTGTTAAACTTCCTTTTAAGCATTTTTTCTGCATTCATGTTTTTTGGTTGTTTCATTTCTTAACGTTTTTTTCTAATTTCCCTTGTGATTTTGGTTTTGACTAATTTGTTCTTGAAGTGTCTTCTTAGTGGTTTTTTTTTTTTTTTTCCAAGAGTGTCTTAATTTCCACCTATTTGTGAATTTTACAGTTTGCCTTTTGCTGTTAATTCCTGATGTTATTTCATTGTGGTCAGAAAACACAGTTGGTAGGATTTCAGTCACCTTGCTCTTGCTAAGAACTGTTTTGTGTCCTAACAGGAAATATATCCTGGGTTAGGTTTTAGATGTGCTCATTTGGAAAACGTGTGTCCAAATGCTATTGTTGTGTGTTGCGTACGTGTCTGTTAAGTCCTCTGTGGTGCTGTATAAGTGAGCTGTCTGCTCCTGGTAATGGATGTTGATGTTTCCTGCTATTGTGCAGCTCTCTTTTTTCCCCCTTGTCATTGCTTGCTTCCTGTTTTGGGGTGCGCTGCTTCTTTAGGAGCACTTACGTTCATAATTAGTGTATCTTCTTGGTAAGTTGACCCTTCTGTAGTATGCTCTGCTGTGACTCTTTGGACAATTGTAATTTATTTCTTTTTTTTTTTTTTTTTTTTGTCTTTTTCCTTTTTATCGGTACCAGGGATCGAACTCACGACTGCCTGCTTGCAAGGCAGGTGCTTATGCCGCTAAGCTAAACCTCCAGCCCCGGACAATTGTAATTTAGAGGCATTGTCAGTACGGCCTCTTGTCCCTCATTGTTTGGGTGAAATGGCTTTTCAAGCCTTTAACTTTCTTGGTCTAAAGTGAATCTTTTTACTAAGTAAGCATGTATTTAGACTGTTGTTGTTTTGTTTTCTTCTTTAAAAATTTATTTATTTATTTTTGGTACTGAGGATTGAACTCACGACTTCATGTTTACCAGGCAAGCGCTTGATGTTTTCTTTCATTTTGAGAGAGGATCTCACTATGTAGTTCAGGATGGCCTTGAACTCAGTCTTATGCCTCAGCCTCTGAGTGCTGGAATAATAGGCATGTACCACCAAGCCAGCTTTTCTTTTCTTTTCTTTTTTTGATACCAGGAATCAAACTTAGGACCTCATGCTTGCCAGCCAGGCACTGTGCCACTGAGCTGTGTATCCCTGGCCCACCCCCTTTTTAAGACAGAATTTCACTGTGTAGTTTAGTCTGTTCTGCTAGTGTCTTTTGATTGGTGGTTTTAAACTACTTACATTTAAAGTAATTAACAAGAGGGAAGGATTTAATGTTATCTTTTTAAAAACTTACTTTTCTTACAGTTATTTTACTCTTTTATTTTTAAAAACAAACCAAAAAAATGATAGAAATGACCAAAATTTCAAATAAAATAGGATATTTACTAATTAATATGTTCCACGTGGTTACCTCAGAAGTAGTTGTTCAGATTTTGCCCTTTTTTAGCTGGCTTGCTTCCTTCGTTTTATTTTTCCCTCCATTTATTTGCTTTGAGTCCTTGAGTTTCTGATGTTTCGTGGTTTTGATTTGCATTTTTCTTTCTGTTAATAATGGTGAGCTTATATGCCTTTTGGCTATTCGAATTTCAAATCAGTAGCTCAAGTTTTAAAGATACGGATTACTGTTACTTTTTGAATTCTCCCCCCCCCCCATTCCATACCATGGGATACTCTTTGAATTCTAAATGATACTTTTTTACACTTGAGTTTGGACCAATTTGAAACATGAAATTATGTTTTGAAAAAAATTAGTTTCAAGTAGCATAGCGTCATCTTTTGGGTTCTCATTGTGTTTTCTTATATACTATTGTTTGTCTGTTAAGCATCCATTTATCATGTAGCTAGTTATTTATTATATATTCTTTGTTCTTTTTAGTACTAGAGGTTGAACCCAGGTCTTCATATTGAGCTACATCCCTGGCCCATTTTTATTTTTTGTTTTGCGATAGTCTTTCTGGTTGCTCACACTGGGCTTCAACTTCAGCCCTTCTGCCTCATCGTCTGGGAGCCCTGGGATCACAGGCAGGTCTTACTATGCCCAGCTGATTTTATGTTCTTAACTTGTGTAGTCTTAACATTGTGATATTTGAATGCTTGGGGAGAAACTGCTCCTTGAAGGGTGGCTTATTCCTAAACAACAGTTTTCCCAGGAGCACACCTTTTATATGTACGCTAACAAGCTTATCACATCTAATTCTCATGAACTGTGCTCTTACTTCTGTTTTCCTAGATCAGTGGTGGCAGACCTGTGGCACACATGCCACAGTGAACTGCTGGAGTGTTGAAACCTCTAAAAAGTTTTGCCATCGCTGTCCTGGATTGTCCCACAGCTGGATATGAGGTTGACCCTCCCCTTCCTTTCTTAGGCACCAGTATAAACTGTTTACTGGGATTTGTACCTTTTCCGTGAAAACCTTGGAGTGAGGCTTTTGCTTAGGCTTCCCCTCTAGCTCATTCTGATGCTTCTCTTGTGTCCCTTTCCTTTGGGAAATAGAATCAATAAAATAAGTTGTTCCTCCAGTGAGTTTTAGCTTTTCCAAGTTGTTTGTTGTCCCTCTCTGAATTAAATGGTGGGTGCAAATTTTTAACGTAGGGAGAATGTAAGCTTACGTCCTATACCTTATACCTGCTGCCAGGTTGTTTTTCAAAGGCAATAACTGCTAACATTTCTTTCTAGCAAAGTCAAATAGAATGAAGATGCATATCCTTTTTCTAATTGTAGACACACAATCTTTAAAGATAGGTTCTTACTAATTCTGAGAGCCAAGACAGTTGAGTAGGACAGGGGTGTTAGTCTGCTTCCTATCACTGTAACAAAGTGCCTGAGATTATGAACTGAGAAAGAGACAAAGTGTATTTTGACTAAGTCTTGATGTTTGTCTGTAGTCATCAGTTGGCCCTGTGCTCGTGCCCTATGGCAGGGTGGTCCAAGCTGTTGTGAGGGATGGAGGAGGACTCTGCTCACTTGGTGGTGGCTGGAACACACAGAAGGGAAGAGTTCCCACGTCCCCTTCAGTGGCAGGCCCCAGTGACTGGGCAAGTGCTCCCAGGCTCTACTCTGACCTCAGCGTTCACTATGGCAACTTAGGGAACAAGCCTTTCCCCTGTGGGCCTTTGTGGGAACACTTCCCCAATGATAGCAGCAAGTTAGTCCACATGGTGTGGATTTAGAAAGGGAGACCTACTCCCCACTGCGGTTTTGCTGACTTGGCCACAGTGGGGTGCTAGGTTAAGGTGCAGGCCCAGTTCTTTCCTCTTGGTTATCCAGGTGGATGCTTCGGAGCGTGCACAGGCTTGCCTGCATGGTTTCCTGTCTTTGTTCTCATTGAAAGTGAATTGAAAAGTCAGTTTCACTTAGCCGATTCGATTAAATTTACTTCTTTGCTGTCTTTTGGCTTTCAAGTGGCCTTTTCCCAAATGTCCCACTGATAATGAGTTTTCTAAGCTTAATTCAAATTACCGAAGAAGAACATGACAACCATTGCTGAAATGTAGAATTAATTCAGGGGGCTGGGGATTTAGCTCAGCGGCATAAGCACCTGCCTTGAAAGCAGGCAGTCGTGAGTTTGATCCCTGGTACCGATAAAAATGAAAAAGACAAAAAAAAAAAAATTAATAGCTCTAATCATTGTATTATGTAATTGCCACCTGTCTTTGGAAAGAGAACCCAAGAGAAAACTGCATTGTAGGATATCAGTGCTTGCAGTCCTGCATCCCTGTCCTTCGGGGCAGCACTGCAGAGCACTGTGGGTGCAGGAAAGGGAGACTCTAGAAGAAACCGAGTGTTCAGAGAAGCCCTTTCACCAAGGAGATGGGCGCAGCTGCCTCCCCAAAACGTGGCTGGTGCAGATTCTCACAGAAGGGATGAGAGGCTCTGCACAGACACTGAAACAGTGAAGAGTGCAGTGATTGTAGTTTCAGTAGGAAAGAGACAGGATAGGGTGACAGGAGGCTGATTTACAGCGGTACACAGTTAAGTTTGGTCAGGATTATAGACCTAGAGTCTAGAAAGTCACAGTACTTAAGCTGAGAAATTTCCCTTTGTTAGGTGGTCTTCAGTTATCCTTAGCAAGCACAAACTCACAGTAAAATTAAGGCGAGATCTTACTCCCTTATTTCATCAGTTGATTGATGTGTTTCTTTCCTCTTTCAGAAGAATGGTTGCGACCCGTGATGAGAAAGGACAAGCAGGTGTTAGTGCACTGGGGATTTTACCCAGACAGGTAACTTTTAAAAGTACTAATTATTATTCTAATTGTACACATGTGTAGGGCACTGACATAATCGAACACACATGTCAATCTGTAATGGTCAAGGCAGAGAGGTATATGTGTGATCAAAACCAAGGCTTTACACATGCTGGACATGCTATTTACTGTAAGCATTTTGAAGAATGATACTTTTTTATCTCAAAAAACTCATCTATCATGTATTTGCCAAAAATCTTTCAGATAAGCTGGGAATATACATTTGTTTCCTTTAAGAAATGATATTTTTTGGTCAGGCGTGGTGGCACATTTCTGTAATCCTAGCACTCCAGAGATTGAGGCAAGAGGATCACTGCAAGTTTGAGGCAAACCTGAGTTACCAAGTGAGTTCAAGCTAATGTGGACTGCATAGTGAAACTGTCTAAAAAAGATTAAAAAAATTTTATTGAGCCACATATGATGGCACATGGCCTGTAATCCCAGCGCTGAGAGTCTGAGGCAGGAGGATTGCTATGAGTTCCAGGCTAGTGTGGATTACATCGTGAATTCAAGGCTACCCTGAAGCCACGTAGTGAGATCCTGTCTCAAAAACCAAAGAAAGAAAGAAAAGGAATTTTCACCATGTGGGGGCACATGTTTGTAATCCTAGCACTCAGGAGGCTAAGGCAGGCGGATTATCACAAATTCAAGGCCAGGGGCTGAGGATTTAGCTCAGCGGCATAAGCACCTGTCTTGCAAGCAGGCAGTCGTGAGTTCGATCCCTGGTACCGATAAAAAGGAAAAAGACAAAAAAAAAAAAAAAAAAAAAAAAAAAAAACAAATTCAAGGCCAGCCATTGCTACATAGGTGAGACATTGTCTCAAATATACAATGTAAAAGAAATGAGTTATTCTTCCTTATATTTGTTACTGATTGTTTCCCCCCAAAACACTGTGCATGCCAAATTATAAGGCTGAAGATACTTAAATTGTTTTTTTTTTTTTTTTTTTGTCATTTTCCTTTTTATCCGGGGATCGAACTCACAACTGCCTGTTTGCAAGGCAGGTGCTTATGCCGCTGAGCTAAATCTCCAGCCCCTCAAGTGTGTCATTTTAATCATAAATATTTCAGTATGTATTTCTAAAATAGTTATCAATGTAAAGTCTAAACAAAAATAATGGTTAATTTGAAATACCTGTTTCTGTCTTTCATTGTTGCTGTATAAATGATAAATTTGACCATTGATATTTATTTGAATCAGAAGTCAGATGAAATTCACATTTCTCATTAATTGGTATATTTAATTACTCTTGGTTTGTAAGTTATCCATGTTTTTTCTTGACCTTTCTTTGGATTATATGTTTTTGGTGTTTTACTAAATAGCCCAGACTCTCTTTGAACTCGTGATCCTCCTGCCACCTCTATTGAAGTATAATCTTGGCTCAACTAAAAAATTCCTTTGCTATAACATTGGCTATCATAGGAAAGTAGTTTGCCCTCTAAATCACTTCGGTGAAAACTCAGATTTATGATGACAAGGGTAGGGCTAATGCAGTTTTGTAATAGCACATTGTAAGACATCTTAGCCCATTTCCTAACCTTGCCCTGTATGTCAAATAGCTTTTGTGGATAGCTCAGGTCGTCTTCTTAAGGGACCTTGTTCACTTTTTTAAAATTTTACATTAAGTATGACGTGTCCTCTGACATCTACTTCTAACACCATGTTTTTTAATCAAGACTTGGAGAATACAAGTTTATCATTTTCATGTCAGTATGATGATCTTTACTTGGTATGTGATGTGTGGTTTTTTTGTTTTGTTTTGTTTTTAAATAGGTTCAACTTAAACTCACTGTGTAGCTCAGGCTGCCCTTGAACTCAGGTTAATCCTCCTGCCTCATCCTCCCTAGTACTAGGAGTAAGTGTGTGACACCACAGCTGGCTACTTAATTAGCAAAGGAACTTTTTGTGCTCTCATGTTTAAGTGTTTCTAAAACATTACATGAATGTTATTAACAGGCTATTTCCAAGTGTGTTTGAACTGACTTGAGAATATTGATTATAAGGAAGCTAATACTTCATTTAAATATCACTAGATTTCATAATAATTAGTCACATAATAGCATTGGTTTTATTTGATTGCAGATTTTTTACTTATTTCAAAAATAGTGCTGGAATGGGTATAGTGGTTTCTGTCAGTGTATTGGAGTCCATTAGTCAGGGGATCTTTCAGTAGGGCGATTTGAGAAGTGAGCTGTGTGAACATTGTGGGTGTGAGTAGCCTTCTGGGAAACAGGAAGGCACATGTTTTAAAATACATGCATGCCTGGTGACACATGTTGAAGAAGCCGCTAAAGTCTGTGTGCCACAAACGTGAGTGAAGATGGAGAGAAGATGACAAGGAAAAGGCTTTACTGTGGTACCAGGACCTAGTCTTGAAGCCTTGGTAAGTTACAGTTAGATTTTGACTTGCACTTTGGGTCAGAGCCTTTGGAGGACTTTGAGTAGATTGTGAAATTTGGAGTGTGGTGGGCTGACTTTGTTTTCAGGTTGTTCTGGCTATTTGTATAAGAAAAGTTACTTTTAGGAAAGCAGTGCAGAAGGAAGGAGATAGCGGAGTGGGAGGGTGAAAAGAAGGTAGGACATGATACGATCTAAGTATGAAAATGCCAGATTAGACACTTGGTTATAGGTTGTGGTTAGGAGTCAAGTCAGTGATAGTCCCGAGGATTTGGCTTGCAACTACAAAGGTGGACCTGGCATTTGAAGAGATGGTGTTGGCCTGGAGTACACTGCTGAGTAGCATAGGATTGCACTTGGTATCTGGGTATGTTAGGTTTGGAGCCCCCTGTGATGTTGATACATCAAAGAAATGTGGGGTTGGCTGTTGGATTTATGACTTGAGAATTCAGAGACTGGGGCCAATACATGATTTTAAGTTGAAAACTCAGTTCAGCATGGAGACTGAGCAAGAGGCTGGTGACAAGATAGAAAAGGCACTGGATGCTAGAACTGTCCTGAAGGCCAGGTCCAAAGGTGATTTGAAGAAAAGGCAACAATTTTAAAATATGGTGGACTGAGGCTTGAGCTTTGACTGAAGCCGTATGAAGTGTACTTTCTGCAAAGGGTTTTCCGTAGTAGTATGATGAGGATGCAAGTGTCTGGTAGTGTACTGTTACTGTGTACAAATACGAGTTACCACTGGGCCTGGAGATAGATCAATCTCTGTTTTTTTGTTTTTTTTTTTCTGTTTTTGGTGGTGTGAGACGGTCAGGCTGCTCTTGAACTATTTTATAGCTCAGGCTGGCCTGGAATTCATGGTGATCCTCTTGATGGAATTATAGGTGTGCACCACCATACGTGGCCCAACAGCGTTTCTAATGTGTATTTTACCTCGTTGGTAAGTCTTGCACACAGATGCACTTTGATTCCAGTTTGTCTTTATTTCATTTACTTTATAGCTATGATACTTGGGTGCATAGTAATGACGTTGATGCAGAAATCGAAGACCCACCAATTCCAGAAAAGCCGTGGAAGGTAAATGCATATTAATACTCTCCCACCGGTCTCTTTTTTTCTCTCATTGTTACGTAGCCTTAGGCTTTCTTAGTCCTCCTGCGTAAGTCCTAGCTAGGCCACTCTGTGAATTGGGATAGTTAAGCAAGAGCACAGGTGAACATAATCATAAGTGTTTTTCCTTGAGTTTTTGTTTTGTTTTGTTCTTTTAGCCAGGGTCTCACTATAGAGTCCAGATTGGCCTTGAACTTTGGATCCTCCTACCTCAGCCCAAGTACTGGGATTATAAGCATGCTCCTCCACCCCCTGCTTTCCTTCCATTTTTAACATATAAATAATTTTATTTATTTATTTATTTGTTTATTTATTTTATTTTTTTCTGTGGTACCGGAGATCGAACTCACGACCTTGTGCTTGCCAGGCAGGCGCTTATGCCACGGAGCTAAAAATCCCCCACCCCATATAAATAATTCTTGACCTATGTATTCAACCTAGATTATTAGTGGATTTTTAAAACCTTATTTTTAAAACCTATATTTTTGTTTAGACTTTGAGAAAAAGCTTTTGATTTCATATGTAGAAATTGAAATTAACAAAAATTAGTCTTTGATAAAAAGTTTTTTTAAGATAGGATCTCATTTTGTAGTTCAAGCTAACCTTAAATGCGTAAGTCCTGCCTCAGCCTTCTGAGTGCGGGATCTACAGATGTGTATCACCACTCTTGGCAAAAGTACTTTAAATTGAAATAATTTCCTTCCTGTATTCCTGCCTGCTTATTGTGGTACTGGGGAGGGAACCCAGGGCTTTCACACTGAGTCATGGCCCCACTTCTTTTCTTTTTCTTTTTTTTTTTTTTTTTTTGTATTTTGAGATAGGGTCTCACCAAGTCACTGAGTCGTTCAGGCTGGAGTCAAGTATTTTATTCGTTTTTGTTGCTGGACATCCAACCTCAGGTCTCATACATGTGAAGGAACTGAGCTGTGTCTCAGCCCTGTGCTCAAATTTGGAATTACTCATTAGGAAGTATTAAATTTGTTTTGCTTTTCAAAGTTAAAGTTCTTCATATGTAAATTTGAGACTTTTTAGCTTATAATCCTAGCCCTCTTGGAGGATAGGCAGGAGGGTTAGAAGTTGAGCACAACCAGGGCCATTTAGCAGCACCCTGTCTTTGTAAGTCTAGGGACACTGGGATTGTAGCTCAGTGAAACAACCCTGGATCCACCCCACATCACCGAAAAAACCATAGGCTCTTGGCTTCAGGGCCACAGTGCTGTGCCTGCTTTAGAGACTGGCATGAGAATGGTCCACTTGAGTGACATTTCTGACCTTTACATCTCTGCTGTCCATGATTCTTGGATATCAGGTAAGCAAGTGTTATAAAAGATGAGAAAAATGATGCTACCCTTGTTCTGCTTTTCGGAAACTAGGCTGGCCTTTTTGGGGGAGGGGTGTGAGGCGTTGGGCCTGGGCCTCACACATGCAGAGCGCACTGCTCTGCGCCACGTCTCCTGGCCTGCAGCGACCGTGCTGAACAACCCTGCAGAAGCAAAAGCCGTTAAAAATCCCTTAGACTTTGTTGATGATATAAGACAATAGAAGAAAATTACCTTACACATTCGGTAAACACCATTTTTGCAATAGAAGCTTAAATAGTTGGTAAATACATGATTTCCACTATATTGTAAATATTGTTATGTTTGTTGAAATATGAGTAGTATTAGAATTCATACCCACCATTATCTATTTTAAAAATGAATGGATGTGTTTGTTTTAAATTGTATGTTTTCTTTTTCTTCTTGAACCTATTTTTTTTATAGTAGAATATTACTGTAATTAATACCTTAGATTCTTAACCTTTCAAATATAGGGAAAATATCAGCTAACCATGTGCCTTTTGTCAGGAAATTTAAACTGGAGTTACTTCTTTCAGTTTCTGTTACCTTATAAAATAAGTATCTGTATGTTTTTTCTAAAGGAAGAGGCAAAGAGTGCAAATTGTTTTCTTCTTTCTTTTGGTTTTTTGAGACAGGGTCTTTCTGTATAGTTCAGGCTGGCCTGGACCTTACAGTGATCCTCTTGCCTCAGCTTCCTGAGTGCTTGGGTTCCAGGAGTGCTAGTGCACACCTGGCTCAAATTGTGACTATTAATGATTTAGAAGTAGGTAATAAGAAGAATCACTTTCTAGTTAGAGCATTCCATTACCTCTGAACACTCTCTGTGTTTAGCTTGGTCTGTGTCCTTTTAGTCACTGTTCTGATGTTCTGATGACTTTTCCTTTGCAGTAATTTACCATAAACACATATGAGGTGCACATAACCCGTTTTTTTGGGCATTTCTTAAAAGCTTTATTAGTGGAATTTTTTGTTTTGTTTTTAGTTTGCTAGTAGTAAAAGGGACCTTTGTTTGAGTATGTCACAGTGTATCCATTGTGTTGTGTTTGGGTGTGTGGAGGTTTCCAGCCACAGGTACTTTGAGCAGTACTACTGCAAACTTTTTTGAAAGTGTTCACTCTTTTATATGTTTAAAATTAAATCCCTTGGTCAGAGAGAATACAAACATTCACTTTTTTAAAACATATTGTTTTCCAAATAATTGTGAAAAATTATTTTGCTATGGCTGTATGTTTTCTCGTTCTGTCTCCTAGCCCGGCTGTATCAGATGACTTTAGTGTCTTATTAAGAACTTAAGTTGTCTTTGTCGTATTTCTAGTTACCATTTTTTCATGAGTCTTATGACCTTTTGTATTGCCTCCCTGATTCTCTGGTTTTCTCTTTGCATTATCTTCGTTTTGATAATCTGCACACTAACCATTGTTGGTTGCATGTGTTAGAAGTGTTTTCCTAGTAGCTTGTCTTTGTGTTTTCCAGTCTCGAAGTCATCAGGATATTCTAAATTATTGTCTGAAAGATCTTTAATATTTCCTTTCTTGTGTTATATCTGTCTTTAATTTCTCTGTAATTCTAATAATAGTGCAGTAAATTGTTTTTTGTTGTTAGGGATTGAACACAGGACCTTGTGCATGTGAGGCAGGCACTCTCACTCAACCACACCCTTGCCTTTGGAATTTTTTCATAATTGTATGCAGAAAATTATTTTCCATGGGCTGCTGTATCAATTATGTCATGAAGAAAAACATTGAAGTTGGGTTTTTCTCTTGGGTGTTCTTGTGAAACAGTGCTAGACTTAGAACTCAGTGTAGATCTTAAGTGTGACTCCTAATGAGCCATAAGCAACTTATTGAAACTGCGCCAGCGTGCTGACTGGGAGTGCTGGGGAGTGATGCTCCATGGCTTCACACGCGCAGGAGATTGAAAGGGGCTGTGTAGGCAAGCCATTTAGCAGAGTGCCTGGCACAGTTAACAGCTGCTGGTTTGTATTTTTGTTTTTTGATTTTTTTGAGATAGTGTCTCGCTATATGGTTCAGACTGTAGCCCATACTGGCCTTGAGCTCACAGTGATCCTCCTGTCTTAGCCTCTCGAGTGCTGGGATATAGGAATGTACCACCATACCTGGCACATACTGTTTTGTTTTTTGAGACACGGTCTTGCTATGTAGTTCAAGCTTGCCCTGAACTTACTTTGTAGCCCAGATGACCTCAAACTCATGACGATCCTCCTGCCTCAGCTTCTGGTGTGCTGGAATTACAGGCATGTTGCCACCATGCCCAGCCTTTATACTGTTTTTAAAAACTTTTATAAAAGATTTTTGGATAGTTACAAAATATGCAGTATGTATATTCATTTCTTTTTTACTTTTCAGACAGTTTTACACTTTGGAAAGCATAGATGTTAGATATTTAAAAAAACTTTTTTTTTTATTGGTACCAGGGATCAAACTCACGACCACTTGCTTGCAAGGCAGGCACTTATGCCGCTGAGCTAAATCCCCAGCCCCATTGTTAGGTATTTTTTAACATTACCTTTTTGTTTCTCTCTTTTTCTTTGTCTGTCTTTTTGGTTCCCAGAAATTGAACCTGGCCCACCCTTTTCTGTAATAGTCATTTTAAATTAGCTTCTCATACACATTGCTTATTTACTTACTTACTTTTACACATTCAGATTTGTAGGTTTAGTAAGATCTTATTTTTTCCCTGGCATCATGTTTTGTATTTGTGTGCATTAATGTGTAACTTAATTTGTAGAGGCATCTGGGCAGATAAGGTGCCATTCAGATAAAGAAAGGCATTATCCTGAATAACCACTCTGACAGTACTTTCCTCAGTTTTAAAAACATGGAGCAGTTGGGATCCCTAGATTAACCAAATATTTTCATGGAGTGTGTATTGTCTTTTAGGGACTGTCATATCTTTTTCTCGGTGTTCTAGGAAGGGTTTCATAGTTGGGTTTACTATAGTTATGGCTCCCATAAGAATGTTTACTGGTTCTCTGTCAGCAACATTAACTAACACAAGAGAAGCAGGGAAAGGAGTGGGAAGGAGCCAATGCCTGAGTCCCTGCCACAGAGCCCCATGTGTACTTGGAGGAGAAAGTGATGGGTTTCTCTTGCTCATTGAGGTAGTGTCAATTGCCTGACTCTGGAGACAGCCTTTGTGCTTAGAGCAGTGACTATTTTGGCTACACTGTGGAGTTTCTTTTTCTTTTTCTTTTTCTTTTTGTCTTTTTGATACACAGGCTCGCTATGCAGTTCAGGCTGGCCTTGAGCTCACTTTGTAGCCCGGCCTAGTCTCAAACGCAACAATCCTCTTGCCTCAGCCTCCTGCATGCTGGGATTACAGGCATGAGCCACCATGCCCGGCCACTGTGGAGTTTCTTAATCAATAAAAGAAATGGAATAAAAATTAGAATAGGTAGCTGGGCGTGGTGATACACACTCGTTACCCCAGCACTCAAGAGGCAGAAGCAGGAGGATCACTGGAGGTTTGAGACCACCCTGAACTACATAGTGAGACTATTTATCAAACAACAGAAAAAGAAGAAAAGGCTAAGTTACACCTTATATATCTATTCCTAGTAGTGCACTCTTAAGTGTTTTTTGTAACTAAGACTTTGAAAGTAACCATCTTTTTCTTCTGAGTACTTTAAAAGCTCGAGTGAGTTTATTATTTCTGTAAATACTCATGCTTTGATGTGGCCTTAGGTTCATGTGAAATGGATCTTGGATACTGATGTTTTCAATGAGTGGATGAATGAAGAAGATTACGAAGTGGATGAGAGCAGGAAGCCAGTGAGTTTCCGTCAGCGAATTTCAACAAAGAATGAAGAGGTATTTCATTTGATGTCATTTTTCACCACCGGGTGTTTTCCTTTCTTGCCATGAATGTTATGGAATTGTCACTCATAAACTCACATGCATGCCAGCTTTTATGCGCCGTTGGGTCCTGAGTGCCGTGACAAACAGCCCTGCCCCGAGGTGGCAGCCCCCACCCCCATAGGGTGGTTAGGATTTAAAGTCACTCGTTAGGTGTGACAGTGTTACAGCTGATTTTATTTACTATTTCTTTTATTTTGTGTTCCAAATATCTTCGTAGCATAATGTAATTGTCCTGATTTTCCTTGGCAAAACTCATTTACTATCTTTTAATAACTTTGTACTCACAACTCTCCATGCATTAATAATGGATAGCATTAAAGGTCTCAGGTTTAAAAATTGACTCCTTCCTGAATGTTGCTTACTTGACACTGAATCCTTTAAGAAGTCTTGCAGCTTGGCATGGTGGAGAATGTCTATAGTCCCAGTACTCAGGAGGTTGAGCCAGGAGGATCACCATGAGTTTAAAGCTTCCCTGGGCTGCATAGTAAGTTCAAGGCCAGCCTGAACTACAGGATGAGAGACCCAGTGTCAAAGAAATAAAAAATGAGCAGTTAAATGTTTGCCCATAATTGTTTTGTTTTTCATCTTTTTGGAGCCCAGGCTGGTTTTTTTTTGGGGGGGGGGGTCGTGTACCAAGACCTCCTGCTTGCCAGACAGTTGCTTATGCCGCTGAGCTAATTCCCAGCCTCCCCCAAGCTGTTTTTGAACTCTCCGTGATCCTCTTGCCTCAGCCTCCCCAGTGCTGGAATTACAGGAGTGATCAGCCCGGAGTTTGTTACAAGTCACAGCTGTAAGTTTGATGTGTCATTTGATGAAGTTTATTGTGGTTGGGTTTGTGACAACCCAGCAGAGACGTGAGATTCTGAATTTTCCCTGGGGCTACTTACATTTATTTTACTATTTTTATATTTTAGTTGTTTGAAAAAATCTTTTGATTTTTGTCTGTTAATATGGAAAATATAATTTTTGTCTGTTTCTGTGAAAAATAAGATATTTTTTTCTTTTCACAGCCCTGTGACTACTTTTGCTAAAACTTCTTTTTGCACTATCTATATTTTTTATTTTAAAGAAAAATATTTTGAAACTAGTGTTTTTCATAGTCTTTGCATGTTTAGTTTTCCTTAAAAGTTTGACTTGGTACTTTTTTTTAAGTGCATGTTCATAGTCTTTGATGTGTCCATCACTCATGCAGGTCAGGTGCCTACCCTTAGCATATCTGATTCTTTTTCTTTCCCTTTCCTTCCCCATTCTTCTCCTTCCCATGGTCCTAAATCTCACAATTTTTTTTTTAAATTCATGTTTGTGACACAATTTACATTCACTGTGGCTCATTGTTGTGTACACAAGACATGCCCCAAATCTCTGTCCTCCCACAGTGGATAGGCTTGTGTACTTTGAGTCAGTGTGTGTACATGTGTGGGTGGAGGAGGTCCTGGGGGCAATCCCAGTGCCTGATGGATGCTGGGCAAGCACACTTTACCTTTTTTTTTTTTTTTTTTTTTTTTTCTTTTTTATCAGTACCAGGGATCGAACTCATAATCTTGCCCTTGCAGGGCAGGTTCTTGAGCTGCTGAGCTAAATCCCCAGTGCTCAAATGCACTTTGTTCTGCCAAGCCAAGTCATTCCTGTGGTACATTTCCAGAGGATCATTCAGCCCTGTTTTTTTGTTTTGTTTTGTTTTGTTTTGTTTTTTCCTCAAGCAAGTTACTTTATTTATATCGCAATTCCCTCACCTAAAATATGTGAATGAAAAACTATTTCCTCCTTCATGGAGGGGGGCTGTTGTGAGGAATAAACAACAAATATTGGAATAACAAGCAAATTAGGACAGGTCCTGGCACATGGTAATCTCCCACCCTTGTGAATCATTACATAAACTATGAATTGTGTAAAATATTTAGATGTGATTTAAAGCAAAATAAGAACTAAGTCATTTACTAGGCAAAAGTGTATAAACCTTAGCATTTGAACAATTTTTCATCTTTTGCAGTGTTTGCAGCATCCCATCTGTCATCAATTTTTAAAACAACTTGCCTTTTTCAAAGCAGTCAACTTAGTTTGTAAAGAAATAATACAGCCCTGTTTCTTAACTCCTTGGGTGTTTCCCCATCTGAGTAGCCAGGTGTGAACACTGCTGTAGGCAGTGTGACGTCTGGGTGCGAGTTATGAGCATCTCTTGGTGATAGCGTGGCTTGAGTGCCTGCGGATCCTGCTGAGAGTTCCCGTGTCACCTGGCGGGGTGACGGGTCTCCTCCTTAGCTTTGCACCGTTATCCCCACTCACTGACCGGGTTTGGGAAGATGTTCCCAGAACGCGAGGCTGTGGGAAGCCAGCTGGTACTTATTTCCATTTACTTCTTCCTAGCCAGTCAGAAGCCCAGAGCGGAGAGACCGAAAGGCCTCCGCCAATGCCCGGAAGAGGAAGCACTCACCCTCGCCGCCACCCCCCACGCCCGCTGAGTCGCGCAAGAAAAGCGGCAAGAAGGGGTAAGCGCCGCAGGACCTTCGCACGTGCTCCCAGTGTTGCCGGCTAGCTAACTTCTGCTGGACTCGTAGAGGGGTGTGCTGCTGTGTCAGCTGGCACTCGGGGCATGGTTTTCTTGCTGGCATTTAAGTTGCATTTGTTGGAGGCGCCTCGGATGGTATGTCCTGAGAAGTGCAGCAGGAGAGGGTTCAGAGACCGGGTACAACATGGGAAGACTGTCTCACTGCGATCATGGTGGCTCTTTGGTGTCTGCACAGCGCTTTGGCATGGTCTTCGTTCAGACCTGTACCCTGGTGCAGCAGCAGCCTTGCAGAAGCAAGGACTGCGGTCTCCTGAGGACAGAAGGGAGACCGAGAAACGCTTGTGCAGCACCTGCTCTGAAGTGCATACATGTCCTTGCAATAAAAGGTTACACACCATAATTTATTACTGCATGTTAAACTGATGAAAACTTCAGGCTTGTGTCGCTCAAAATACTTTTATACAGTTTGCAAAGATTATTTTTTGTTTTGTTGGTTTGTTTTGTTTTGGTACTGGGAATTGAAATCAGAACCTGTGCTTGAAATCAGAACCTGTGCTTGCCAGGCAGGCGCTTGTGCCCACTGAGTTATACCTCTGGCCCCTCATCCTCTGATATTCTTTTTGTTTGTAACTTTGCCTCACCCAACTGAGAGATGCCATAGAGTACTTAAGGTTGAATTTGCTTATTTGAAAAGACTTTTTTTTTGGCACCAGGAATTGAATTCATAACCTCACACTTCCAGGCACGCACTTATGCTACTGAACTAAATCCCTGGCCCTGAAAAGACATTTCTTTATCATGCTGTATTTAACATGAACATAGGAAAATTTGTTTTATTCATCTTCTCTGTGTCTTTTAAAGTATTTTACAAGGGCGGGGAATTAAGCTCAGCAGCATAAGTGCCTGCTTGGTAAATGCAAGGTCAGGAGTTTGATTCCCATTACCAATAAAATAAAATAAAATATTTTACCTCCGTGAAACCTTTAGGTTTTATGGGCTTTAAAAAATCATCCTGTCGGCTGGGGATTTAGCTCAGTGGCATAAGCACCTGCCTTGCAAGTGTGTGGTTGTGAGTTCGATCCCTGGTACTGATAAAAAAGACAAAAAAAAAAAAAAATTTAAAAAAAAATCATCGTGTCATTTTAATTTTGGAAAAAAATTTACCTTATGTTCTTTCAGCCGTGGCAGTTTAGTGTTTAAAGAGCTCTCTGGGAATTCTCTGCGTAGCGTGGGTCTTAGCTGGCCTAGCTCGCTGTCTCAGTCAGTGTTTTCTCCATTCCTATGAGTGTACTTAAGATTTACCTTTTTTTCCCCCGTCTAATTTTGTCTTTTTGAGAGGATCTCACTACGCATTCAGGCTGGCCTTGAGCTCACTTAGTAGCCCAGGCTGGTCTCAAACTTGCAGCAATTCTCCTGCCTCAGCCTCCCCAGTGCTGGGATTCTAAGTGTGAGGCCCTGCGCCTGGCCTTATTTTGTGTTTTTGAGACATAGTCTCACTGTGTAGTTCAGACTGGCCTTGAACTCCCTATGTAACCTGACCTTGAATTTACAATAATCCTTTTGACTGTGCCTCCCATGGGGTTAGGACTGCTGGCATGCCCTCTGTCTGGCAATTACTATCTGTTATGACCCAAAAGAAGTAACTTCTTTGCTTATATCGAAAAACACCCCCCTCCCACACCCTACTGAACTCAGGGCCTCACCCATGGTAGGCAGGTGCTACACTACTGAGCCCTCTGTTTATTTTTTATTTTGAGAACAGTATCTTGCAAAATCACTCAGTCTGACCTTAAATATAAAATTCTCTTACCTCGGCTTCTGAGGTGGCAGCGTTATAGGTATGTACCACCTTGCCAGGATTACCGAGCCTTTACTATTTTTTCTAAAACCACCACGCCCTGCTCTTTTTTGTTTGTTTGCTTGTTTTGTTTTGAGGCAAGGTTTTACTGCCTAGTTTAGGCTGGTTTTAAACTCATTGTGTAGCCCAGGCTGGCCTCAAACTTGTGACAGTCCTCCTATCTCAGTCTCCTGAGTTCTAGGATTACAGGTCCTGGTCATCTGCATATTTCTTAGCCACTTGGTTTTCTCATCTTCCTTATGCCCAGTATTTACTTTTTTTTTTTTTTTTTTTGTATTCCAGGAATTGACTCAGGAACTTGCACTTGCCAGGTGCTGGCTCTGTGCCATTGAGCTATATCCCCATTCGCCAGTATTTCTTGCACCCAGTAGCCTTTTCTGTCCTTTTTTGGCTGGTTATAAGAAATATGTCTAATTTGTTTAGTTACTATTTGCCTGTAAAAGTGGTTCAGAACACAGAGTATTAACAATAATGAAGGTAGTGCTCAGAAATCGTTCATTGTAAGGAGCTATAATTAGTCTGCTTTGTATTTTATATGTTGTGCTTAGCCAAGCTAGTCTGTACGGGAAGCGCAGAAGTCAGAAAGAGGAAGATGAGCAAGAAGATCTTACCAAGGACATGGAGGACCCAACACCAGTACCCAATATAGAGGAAGTGGTGCTTCCCAAAAATGGTTTGTATTCTTTGTGAGGATGAAGCTCATCATTTCATCTTGGGGTTCTTTTTGGAAACAAGGTCTTGCTGTGCGGCTCAGGCTGGCCTTGAATTCACTGTAGTTCAGGCTGGCATTAAACATACAGTGTTCCTCCTGCCTTAGCCTCCTGAGTGCTGGGATTACAAGCATGGGATAACTTATTCCTTGGTTTGCACTGTACTTCTCAACTTTAAAAATCAATACATTCCCACTTTCAAGGTTAGCCCTTTTGAAATGCCTTCTTTCCCAGTTGTTTATTAAGCAAGCTTGCTGTTATTGAGAAAATACATTGTGAGCAATTACTTAGCTTTAAAGTTGATGGCTTTTTAAGACCAACAGAATTAATATTTGTATCAGATACTGAAATATTCAATTATAACTTAAACCTGTTTAAATCTCTAGATATTGCTTTATATGAATGAAAATTTGAGGAGTTCTGGTATTAAATTTTATAAATCAAGTGTGGTAACTGAGTTTTTGATAATGTAAATTGTGTAATGAAGCTCAGAAAGTGCTTTAGATGTTCATGGTTTATTTTTAATTGGCCATCACTTGTTTGTGTCCTTAGTGAACAAGTAATGAATTTTCAAAAATAAAGTCCGATACACTTCAGAAATAAAAGACACTTGATGAGCATTTAGTTAATTTATCCCTTGTCACCACTCATATTTTTGGTGAGAATAGCTCTTGAGTAAGAGACAGCATAGGTCAGGTGGTGATGTTACAGCACTACTACAAATTATACAGCGCTTTAGAGGGTTAGGGTTAGGGTTACAGAAAGTAGAAGTGATGTCATTAAAGTGGATAATATTTTTTTAAACTACTGATACAAGATTTTAGGAAAAGTTAGGACTTTATTTGGTTGTCTGAAGTCAAATGACAGTTTTTATTCAATGTGATCCAAAATGAAGGAAGCCTTTGAACTTCGTAAGGGACCTTTTTTCTTTTTTTCTTTTCTTTTCTTTCTTTCTTTTTTGTTTTCTTTTCTTTTTTTTTTTTTTTTTGTCTGAGACAGGGTCTCACTCTGGAGCCTTGAGCTCATTTTGTAGCCCACGCAGGTCTCGAGTTTGCAGCAGTCCTCCTGCCTCAACCTCCTCTGAGTGCTAGGATTATAGGTGTGTGCCACCATGCCTGCCTTCTTAATCTTTTGTTTCTTTCTGTGGGCAGTTTAAATTTAAAAAATAAAGAAATAGTTAAGATTTAGGATAAGATGTATATAAAGTATGTAACTATCTTGATCTAAATTGTATGCAAGGACAGAAGAGAATTTAAGCAAACAGTTCCCTTACACATCAGAGTTATGGATAAATTTTAACGTATAAGAAACTTTCTGGATTTGGTTAATGCAACAGTGGAATAAGCTTCAAATGTACAAGGGATCTATGGAAGAAAATAAGAGGAGAGTGAATGAATTAGGAGGCTCTGAAAACAGATGAGAGACAAGTCACAAATGGAGCACTGATACTGTGGTCTCTGTGGGTTTGTGTTCAGCTCAGTGCCACAGCACCTGCCTACTGCTCCTATAGAGTGCACTGGTCCCATTCCTAAGGGATGTACCTCATGAGGTCATGACCTCCCAGAGGTTTCACCTGCAAATACCATCTTATTAGATTGGGGTCCAACAAGTGAATTTTTTGGGGGGAGACAAAATATTCAGTCCATTACCATATCTCTAGCATATAAAATCTGCTTAAAACAACCCATCTAGTTAACAAAAAAGCAGTTTACTAGAATATAATTCAGTTCATGCCCTCTTGTCTTTTTGATGTTTTTGTATGTTTTACTTCAGATGTGGTGCCATCCCAACAACATGTCTTTTTTTCCATTGTTCCTTTTTTCCTTTGAACAGTCAGTTGTACCAGGCATACTCCTGTAATCCTAGCACTAGGGAGGCTGAGGCAGGATGATCACCATGTGTTTGAGGCCAGCCTGGGCTACGTAGTGAATTCAAGGCCGTCTGCACTACAAAGTGAGACCCTTTCTCAAAACAGAGTGAAACAAAACCAGTTAATTGTGTTTTTAGAAATTTAGTTATAGAAAAATACCCATTTCTTCCAAAATATTCTTTAGTCCTAGAAATCATTGTATTAGAAAGTTGGGCAATAAAAACTTCCAATGTAGCAATATATTTTTAAGTTGATTTGAGAGAAAAAAAATTAAATATTCAAAAGATTTAAGTGAAAGAGCTATGAAAACGATAGTACCTCAAGAGATAACTACCTAAACTAGAAGTTGGTGCTAATTAATATAATTTGGTTTTGATATAGGAATGACTGAAGCAACCAAGAATGGCCACTTCTAAAATAGAACCGGGACTTTTTGTGAAGGTCATGTTTGGTTAATTTAGCATTGCACATTACTGGGGAAAGATCAGACCATTCCATAAATCCTTAATTTAATGTTCTTCTCTTTATCATATATAGGAATTTAAATTTGGTGAATAAAAACCATAAAATGAAAGTTCAGATCCTGATGTGGTTCAAATAGGTATTAACTAGCAGAAAATACTCATTGAATAAACAAATGAAAGAACATCAGATTCTAAGCCTGACAGGCTGTCAGTCAGTCTGACCTCCTAGTAGTTCATCAGCAGCACAGAGTGAGCCTATCAGTGTGTGTGAGGTGGCCGGCTTCACTGACCATGATGGTTTGCAGAACTTAAATGGCAGATGGCAAAACACACATGCTTTGAGCACACAAATGTTCTCAAATACTCCTGGTAGGATTGGAATTGATGGGCCCTTAACAGAGTTTGGCTGTGTCTCCTAGGGTTTAAATGTGTACAAGTTACAATAGGAGTTTTTAACATCCATAGGTGACTACATGTGCCCACAGTGGTAAAAGAATGGTGTCTACTGAATAGGGAACTGTTGAAAACAAGCTTAGTTGCCTTCAGTGTAGGGCTAGTTAATTTACGGTCTTAACTGTGGCACAGTGGACATACAATAATGAGGGAATTGTAGGTGAAACTCTACCTAAAATGGTCACAGAGGCACTGTTACATGAGTAAAAGCAAGTATTAAGAAATAAGCATGGTATCAATAACATTTCTATAACTTACATACATAGTTACATACACCAGCTTAAAAAAAGCTGGTGATCTTTCAGCAATACTGGGTATATGAAGGATATCAGATCTTCCCTTTTGATCTATCTGAATGAATTAATAGCACAGTAATGAATCAAGCAGATGCACAAAATGCTTTGGGAGGAGAGACTCAGAAGTTCTTTTGGTGTGGCTATGTGAATATGTCTGTTTCTGTAATGAAAATACATTGTTGCTGGAGTAAGTAATTAGATAATGTCCTTAAAAGTTCATGTTTTGCTGCTGGGCTTGTGGGTTTTGCAGGAGGGTAAGTAGTGAAGTTCTGTTTTCTTCTTAAAAATAAGCTTGTTTCTGTTTTGTCTTCTAGTAAACCCAAAGAAAGATAGTGAAAATACCCCGGTTAAAGGAGGAACTGTAGCCGATCTAGGTAAACACAGAATCCCTTTGTCTATTTTCTCTTAATTACATCATCTCTTGTGATACTCCTTTCTTTCCTGAGAATTGTTGCTTTGAGTTTCTGTGCTTTCCCCTACCAATCCTGTGGCTACCTTAAGTATCATCACAGTTCTGTTGCTACTATGTAACAGAGTTAATTTCTGGTGATCTTTTGTTTCCACTCTTAGTAGTTCTCTTTCTGGGAGAGTATTTTTCTACAGACTTAGCAGAGTGGTAATGTTTTACTCAAACTTGACTACCTGAGTTCTAAATAAAACTTGTGCAATCTTCCTGAAATATTTGTTTTATAACATACATGCAAGTTTTGAATCTTTTTAGAAATTTAGTAATTTTTGTGTTCTGTTTTGTTATTTTGGAGACAAGGTCGCACTAAAATAGTTCAGGCTGGTCTTGACGTCCAGACTGGCCTCAAACTCAGAGGCTTCTGCCTCAGCCTCCCCAGTATCAGAATTACAGTTGTGTACCACTTTGCCTGGCTGAATTTGAATCTTTAGAACAAAAATCTTTTGACTGATAATAATTTTGTGAGTCAGATTGTTGTATCCAAGCAGTATAAAATGAGAATGATATTGTCCTTTTAAGTTTCAGTACCCGTGGGGGAGTGGTGTCTTGACTCCTATGCATACCAAAGTCATTGGATCCTGTGTCCTTTGTAAAAGATAATGCACGATTTCATATGCCTTCTGCACATCTGCTAATGACTTAATACTTTAAATCATTTTAGATGATTTAAATATCTAGTACAATACCATATACATAATTGGTGTGCTATATTGCATAACTTATGTAGGCAAAAATGTATTCTGTGACCTGAAAATACAGGGGGCTTTTTTTGAACTGTTTGTATATCTTTTTGAGCACATGTTTGTAATTCATGCAGACAGTAGGCCTTCTTTGGCCAAGGGTTCTGCATACAAGGATTCAGTCAGCTGCACATAGAAAAGATACTTTAAGAAGCTTTTAGTGGTCGTCTGTAGACTTATGTTACCACTTCTCTTAGTCTCCCAGTTGGGCATGCTTCTGCACCTACTTTAAACTGCATTGATTCTTTTTTGTCTTTTTGAGACAGGATCTCACAGTGTAGTTCAAGCTGGTCTTGAGCTCACTTTGTAGCCCAGGCTGGTCTCAAACTCACAGTGATCCTCCTTTCTCAGCCTCCCAAGTGCTGAGATTACAGAGATGTGCCACCACGCCCGGCTGCATATAGGATTGAGTGTTTGGAAGAATGTTTCTACTTCGTTTTAGTAAATGCACAATGTCTCTGATCCTAATGATAATTGGGAGTCTGAAGCAGGATGCTTACGTATTTGAAGCTACTAAGACCTTATCTCAAAATATTAAAGGAGCTGAGGACATAGCTCAGTGACCAGAGTGCTTGTGTAGTATATGTAAGTTTCTGGACACAGTGCCCATACTGTAGTAAATAAATGCATACATCCATCCTAAGTTTCTGTGTTTCCTGACTTATGCCCTGGCAGTGTGTGTTGGAAGGTGTTATATTTTTGTTTTGATAATAGCTGGTATAAAGGAAGTGTTAATAAAAATAATAAAGATACCATCAAAGCACTTTTCTTGTTCTAACATTAATGGAATCTAGGAACAGGGCTTTAATTACATTATCCATAAATTTATGTCTGCTATTCTATAATGATACTTATTTACTGAATCAGTAGCAATGCAAAAGTTCATTATATGCTGTCTTCTCTTTTGTATTCCCAATAAAATGATAGAGTGAAAGATTAAAGCTTGATGTAACTTACTGGGATATTTTGCTAACCTGTGACAGTTTAGTTTAAGGGTGACTTTTGAAAAGGAATCAGTCTGTAACTGGAATAGAGTGGAAATTTTTAGTTCAGCTGAAGTGATCAATGGAGTTAAATGGAAACCAATTTTAAACAAGAGCTAATGGGCCCAAGTAGAAGGAAGTTTTGAGTAGGAGGTATAATAGAGTGCTTCATCTCCCTTTCTGTTACTATTTAAGTTTTTTCCCCTTTGCTTTGTTTAACAATTCATGTGGCACTGTGCAGAAGCCTTTTTCTTTTTTCTTTTTTTTTTTTTTTTGGTCTTTGTGAGACTAGGTCTTATTATGTAGTTCAGGCTGGCCTTGAAATTACATTGTAGCCCAGGCTGACCTCGAACTCACAAGAGATACTCCTGCCTCAACCTCCAGACTGCTAGGATTACAGCTGTGCACACTACACCTAGTCTTCCTTTCAGGAGTCTTGTGGCTAAAGTTGCTGTTTGATCGCAGCCAGAAAGAGTCTTTAAATTTGAAATTGTCATCCTGAGCTTTCATCTTGACCTTTGACTGAATTAGGAGGATTGGGAATTCTAGGTCAGCATGGGTTGCATCGTGAGACCCAGCACCTTCTCCGCAAAAAATAAATTTTAAAAATTAGGAAGAAAATCTCTATTGACTGTTATCTTTTTAGAAGTAGGTGTCTGTCCTATTAATGTGTTAATTTCCAGCAGATCCTGAGACTACCTCAGAAACAAAAACTCATTAAAATCACTTTTATAGCAGAGATGCTTAAAAATTGGTTATCCTGTGGTGTACTTATATCCAGTAGAAAAAATATTTATTTTCTGGCCCTCCCCTTACCTAGATTTCTTCCTCTGTTAACTTGCCAGGAAGAAAATAGGCCCTGTTTGTAGTACCCTCTTAGTAACTGGTACTGTGCTCTTCTGAACTTTGCTGTGACCTGTTATTTGTTGCTATGTTACACATATGGCATTCAGGCCCATCTCTTCCTTAGTGCTGCCAGTATCTTTTGAGTACAGGTGTTGCTGTTTCCCGTTAAACCACGTTGGCCCTGACTACTGGTCAGGAAAATGAGATTGGAATGATTCGGTGGCCTCTTCTGAGATGTTCTGTGGTTAAGTGGCAGGGTCCACTTGCAGGTCCTGGCTCTGTTTCCTGCAGGTGCTTTACTTTACATCACTGTGCTCTGCTGACTGGAGAGTACCCCTTTCTCTCAGCTCCCTGCCCCTTTGTGGTGGCCTTCTTTGGGTTTTCTGTGAGATCTCCAAGGCTACCTCGCTGGAGGTGCTTGGTCAGGCTGCTTCTCTCACACTAGATGCTCCCTTGCCTCCTGGTCATGTGCCAGCTGAAATGTCACCTTTCCAGAGAGACTTCCTTCTTCACGTGCTCTGAAAGGTCTTCGTTTTGTTTGTTTGTTTGTTTGTTTTTGTACTGGAAATTGAACTCAGGACCAAGTGCTTGCCAGGCAGGCACAGCACTGTTAATCCTTAACCCTGGCCCAGTTGGTCCACTCTTAAGATGTGGTACAGTTTTGTCCCATCCCGTACGCCTTGTTGTTGGTGTATAAACATCATAAAGCAGGTTCCCTGTTCTGAGCCTTACTGTGCTCTTTACATTGGATCATGACTGACCAGCCAAAGGCTCTCCCTAAGTTTCATAGGGGTGAGGGTGCTATTCCCCCATTGGGATCCTGGGTATGCTCTAACTCAGGGGTGGAGCTGGGCCTCAATACTGGGCCTGCTAGTAGGTATTCCAGCCTTCTGGTATTGGTTCTCTGTAATTCATAGCTCAGAGGGTAGCCAGAGGGTCATAGAATTATGCTGTCCTAATAAAACAGTCGACAAGAATTTTGAATTTCATGTACTTTTTTTGTATCATAAAATACTCTTTTGTGTTCCTCTTCAACCATTTTAAAAATGTAAAAGCCATTTTTTATTTACAGGTATGTTTAGGGTCCCAAAGAGCACTCTGTATTTAGAGGCTGTCTTTAAGAGAACCTGTGAATGGGATTTTGCTTGTAGCTGTCCTCAAGGCTCTCAGTTATGATCGGTCCTGTGGGCTCTGGGTGCAGGCAGTCTCATACTCTCCCTGTGCTGTTCCAGTTTTAGTATGTGTGCTGTCCGAATGAGCACTTCCTCATACTCTTCCCATATCAGGGCACAGCAGGCACTGCTCCCCAGCAGTGCAAGTGCAGCAATTGTGCCAAGCAAGCCTACCAGGTGTCTCCACGCAGGACTCATCACAGATCTGGGTGTTGCAGAGTGTTGTTGCTGATCTGGACATTGTAGGTAGCCTGTGCTACCTTGTATGAGCCAGGATCGCCCTCAGAAGGAAGGCGAATGTTTATCAACCTGGTTCACATGAACACTTAGGTACAGCGGCCTGCCTTTGTTAGCAGTGAGCTGTTGGTAGAACTGTTAAGCATTACAGGCACTGTGCGTGGTAATCATTTGTTCTGTAACTTCATGTGCTGTCTACATTGACACTTCCGTTTTTTGTTTTTTGGTACTCGGAAATGAAATCACGATCTTGTACTTATTAGGCAAGCACTTGAGCCACTGAACTAAATCCCTGGCCCTACATGGCACTTTTGCTTTTCACTCTGGAAATTATCTGCCTCATTTCCAGTTTCTGTGGGTTTTCTCTTGTTCTCCCTGAGAGTAGCTTTTGGATTTTGGAATTGCCTATTCTTAAAAGGCAGTAACAGTCTAACTAGATCATTATAGGAATTCATTTCCTTCCTTCTCTTTTTCCTTCCCACCTTTTCTCTTTCCTTTTTTTACTCACTTCCTCAATAATCCAGAACATTGCTTTGTTTTACAAATTCTTTTTTTTGTGTGCGGGGCGGGGGGGGGGGGTGGTCACCACACAGAATGGAACTCACGACCTAGTGCTTGTCAGGCAGGCTCTTATAACAACTGAGCTGAATCCCCACCCCGTTTTACCAATTCTTAGGAAACACAAGGCCTCACCAAGACCCTTGGATGATCGCTACTATGATATTAGATCAAGTAATAATTAATTATAAACATATTGCTGAAAATTTTACATTATCTGAACTTTGAATTTCTACCCCCTCTGTATTTCTATGTGAAATTATAGTTTACTAAGATATTAAGGATAGCTATGTTTTAATAGTGCTTTGTTTTGTTGGGCTTCCCTCTGTCTGTTAGTGGTTTTTAGACTGGAAAGACTTCAGATAACCTGCACAGCAATCACTTGTTTTAAATTACATGTTTTGCTTTTGCAGATGAGCAGGATGAAGAAACCGTTACAACAGGAGGAAAGGTAAATATTTAGACCTAGCATAAGAACACATTCTCTAGGTCCTGTGTACAAAGCAGAAATACTGAACTGAAAGTATTGTAAGAAATTTTTTTATTTTGTTTTTCTGTCTTTTTGAGAAAGGGTCTTGCTGTGCAGTTCAGGCTGGCCTTGAGTTCGTTTTCTAGCCCAGGCTGGTCTCAAACTCGAAATGATCCTCCTGCTTCAACTTCTCGAGTGTTGGGATTGCAGGTGTGCGCTAGCACGCCTGGCAAACAATTCCATAGCCAGACCTTTTTTTTTTTTTTTTTTTTTTTTTTTTTTTTTTTTTTTTTTTTGGTACTGGGGGTCAAACTTGTGACTGCACACTTGCAAGGCAGTCACTTATGCCACTGAGCTAAATCCCCAGCCCTGTCCTAAGAAATTTTGAGGCCCTTTTGATTTGGAATTTTTGCTCCCTCCCGCCCACGCTCAGGCAGTCCTCCTGCTTCAGATTCTTCAGTGGCTGGGACTAGCAACCACCACACCCAGCTCAGTCTTCTGTTTAATTCTCTCCTAGAGTAGTTAATTGTCTTCCTACGTCTCTAAAGTGTTATTGAGAGGAATCGTCTTAGGTGATGTCCTTCACATGATAAAGTTTCTTGTTCCATCTGGATGTCAGAAACTTGTTTGCTCCATGGCACATTGTCCTATACCTATGATCTCAGCTACTTTGAAGGCTGAGGCAGGAGGAGCATCTCAAGTTCAGGCATTCAGATAGGCAAGAACCTATCTGAAAGTAAAAGTAAGGAAGGACAGGGGGTGTAACTGAGTGGCAGAGTGCTTTCCTAACATAGGCAAAAAAATAGCACTACTTTTTATAGTATTTCTGATAAAGATGTTCACTTAAAATCTAGGTATGAAGAATCGATCAGTGGATCTTACTGTGTAATTCAGGCTACCCTTGAATTTGTGGCAATCCTGCCTCAACCTCCTGAGTGTTGAGATTACAGGCATGTGCTACCACACCTGCTTAAGATTTTAAAATACTCTATTTGAGATGATTGGTCTAGATTTGTTCAAATACTTAATATCCTGAAATGTCCAAGGAAAAAGCAGGCTGATTAAAAGATTTTACATTACATATGTTATTCATATTTCTTACATTTTGTATTGAGATGGTTTTAGGACCACTGAACCTCTTGGAATATAAACCGTAGTTAGCAATATTGTTTAAGAGTAATTGTTGGCTTGTATCATGTTGCCTGTTTGGCTCAAGGAATGAATTTTTAATTACTGTAAAACAGAATCATCGCTTGCAAGATTTTTATAAATGAAATATAATTTACTAGCTTGGGGATCATGTCCTCCCCCCAGGTGGTGTGGTGGTAGGGAGTAGTGTGCAGAAGATTTAGTGCCCAGGACTCTGCCTTGTAGTGTGCTTGGCCTCCTGCTAGATGAGTGGAGCAGGGATTTAGGTTTGTGACCTGGGATTGGGTAAAATTGGACAAGTAGGAAGTTACGTGGAGAGATTTGGGCTATAAAGTCCAAGTCTTGATTACAGAAACAGCCTTTCTTCAATTAATTTGCTAGTTAATCTTAGGAGGTACTTGTCTTTGGTTCCTTCATCTATAAAAGGAGAAATGAAGGCTGTGTCAGCTGCCTGTTTGTGCCTTAAAAGCTATGAAATGTTTTTACTTCAAAATTGTTTTTTTATCCCTGAAATTGAATCACCTAGCCTTTTATTTGACCTAATATCAAAATGTTGTGTATTTATCTCTGTAGTTCTTTCTCTCAACTTTGGCTTCTTTTCTGTAGGAAGATGAAGATCCTAGCAAAGGGGATCAGAGTCGGTCGGTTGACCCTGGTGAAGATAATGTCACCGAGCAAACCAATCACATTATTATCCCCAGCTACGCCTCGTGGTTTGATTATAACTGGTGAGTGGGCTGCCTGCCCCCTAAACATGGAGCTGAGTCCTGGAAGCACTGCCCTTTGAGTCAGCGTCTGTCACTCTGCCCAAGTCCCTTGTCCAATGGAAGTGATTGGTGTCTACCTAAAACCATTTAAGGATGAAAATTGTAGTTTAGGGTTAAAAAATTTTTTAATGATTTAACTCAAATCATTTAAATTTACTATAATTAAGAGAAGCAAATGCTTGAGTAATTCATAATTATAAAATATTGGTATTTATTGTGTGGTTTTAGAATGTTAAATGAGTTAACCAAAAGTCTATGTACTATGTAACCAAAAGTACCATGGGGTTGGACTCAGGGCCTTTGCAGTCCTTTTCCAAAACAGGGCCCCAGTAAGTCCCTAAATTACCTAGCTTGGACTTGAACTTGTACATCTAGAGATGCAGTCTCACAGAGTCTCCCTGCCTCCCAGCCTCACACTGGTTTTCATCTGTTTATTTGGAGACAGTTTCTGTTGGGACAGTCCAGTCTAGACTCACACCACTGATGCATCCCATGCTGGCTTCACTGGCATTGCAGGTATACTGTATGCCACCTCATGTAGCTGTAATTGAATTTTAAGCAGTAACATTTTAACCTTAGGAACAAAAATAATAAACCCTCAAGTGTGAAAAACAGGATTACAAAAAAACAGACCTCCTTAGATCTTGCTGTGGTTCACAGCAACCATTGTAACATCCTGGAGAATGGTTCAAAATAATCTTGGACACTGTGTTTTTGAATGCTTAACAGGTGTGTCTGTTTAGTCTCAGAGTTTTTGTTCGTTTGTTTGTGGTACCTAATCCTGCCTGTCCTTTCCGCATTGTTGTTAGCTTCTTTCAAGTAACTTCACAAAGGGTCTGTGCTTGGGTGATAACTATTATTCAAACCTTGTGGTTTAGTTATTTTTCACCTGTTCTTAATGACTGTTACATTATTCTTTAATAAGTACTATTTTTAATGTTACTTATATATGTCTAGAAGCTTTATAAATATTGTTTATTTACATATTTATTTTTGACTGTGCTGAGTGTCAGACCAGGGCCTCAGGCTGTCTGGACAAACACTGCCATTGAGCAGAGATTTTTTTTTTTTTTTTTGGTCTTTTTCCTCTTTATCGGTACTGGGATCAAACTCACGACTGCCTGCTTTTAAGGCAGGCGCTTATGCTGCTGAGCTAAATCTCCAGCCCCCTGAGCAGAGATTCTTTGCTTTGTAAAATTCTTTGCTTGACAATTTAAAATAATGTTATATGGCTGGAGCTGAGTGTGGTGGCACATGCCTGTAATCCTAGCACTTGGAAGGCTGAGGCAGGGGGATCATTGCAAGTTTGAGACCAACCTGGGCTGCAAAGTGAGCTCAAGGCCAGCCTGAATTATACATAGTGAAATCCTGTCTCAAACAGAAAAGGAAGGGAAAAAAACCCCCAACATAGTAGGGCCGGTTATACAGCTCAGCATCACAGCGCCTGCCTAGCAAATGTGAGGTTCTGAGATTAATTCCCAGTACCAATAAAATAATACAGTAGATGATTTACTTAAGCTGTCAGCTTAGTTTTGTCCAGAAACAAGATACGGCTCACATAATGACTTTCCTACATGCCTTGAAAACTAACTGAATGCTATTGTAAATAGTTTTAATAAATGCATTCTGGGATACAATAGGTATCTAACTCTTCCACAAAAATCATTTTTCGGGTTGGGGATTTAGCTCAGCAGCATAAGCACCTGCCTTGCAAGCACGCAGTTGTTGAGTTCAATCTCTGATACCAAAAAATAAAAATTAAAAAAAAATCATTTTTCATTATATTCGCATAGAGATATTTTTAAAAATATACTTTTCAGTATCTTGTTGTTTATAGTTACTTGTTGAACTCAAAAATTTTAAACTAAGCCTGGCATGGTGACACATTAATCTCAGGAAATGGGGAATTGAGGCAGGAGGGTTGCAGTGAGCTCAAGGCCAGTCTGGGTTATGTAGCAAGTTCATGGACAGCCTGAACTACACAGTGAGACTCTGTCTCAAAAAAAAAAAAAAAGTTGTGGGCTGGAGATTTAGCTCAGTGGTACAAGCGCCGGCCTGGCAAGTGCGAGGTCTTGAGTTCAATCCCCCCCCCCCAAAGTTTATTTTAAACTTACGTTTTTGTTTCTCTTCCTTAGCAAGATTATGATTCTGAAATTAAATGAAACATTTTCATAACCTACTGTAATTTAATTAAAGAAATACTGATTAAAGTATGACATGCTTAACAGTAATTTGCTTTTTAAAAATATTCTGCCTTCAGGTGGCTTTTGCTAAATACCTTTATTCCAAAGTGGTACAATTTTGTTACATTAAGTTTAACAGATTTTAGGAACACACTAGCAGAGTAGCTTAAAATGACTTTTGTCAGCTGGACATAGTGGTACACACCTATAGTTTCAGCACTTAAGAGATTGAGGCAGAAAGATCGTTGCAAGTTTGAAACCATCCTGAGCTACTATGTGGCTATAGTTCATAGCTTGAACTGCATAGCAAAACCCTGTCTCAAAAACACCAAAAAAAAAAAAAAAAAAAAAAATCACTTATGTGAAGAACTAATTTTGTTTAGCCCTAAAATTAGAAAAAGGAAAAGGTATATAACAGTATTAGGGTTTTATAGGTTACAAGAACACTTGGTTTTTGTGATTACCTTTGCCTGTCACAGTCTGTGTTGTGAGACTTTGGTAGCAGAGGTGTTGGCTGTGTACAGGGAGCTGTCTTAACAGATGAGTTTACTGCCACCTCGCACAAATGGTTCGAGGTTTGGAGTCGATGATCGGACTTACTTAGAGACTCTGATCTTCCATATCCTACTTGTTCCTTCCACTATTTGTACTTCCTGAATGTGTCTCATTCTCAGCACCTGAAGAATTAGCTGCAACCACTTCAAAGCTTTTGAGAAAATACTTGGTAATAAAAATTCTTGTACATTTTACATTTTGGAAGGCTCCTCTAAACCTATAATAAAACATTGGGAGTTATGTTAGAACTACAGTGTGTCATTAGTTGCTAACAACTAATAATAAGCTTGAAGTAATTTTATGTATGTCTGCATAGCATTAATTTGCCTTACAGGTTGTCTTTCTAGTGTTTTCATATTTCACAGTATATATAGTATTTGGCAGCACAAATCCAGTAGAATGTGGATGTTAGGAAGCAATAGAAGAGTGAGTAGGTGGTGCTGCCTGTGCAGCTAGCCCTTGTCTGCAGGGCACTGCTTCTGGGATGTGCCACTTGGTTGGAGCCCTCAGATTCTACAGTCCCTCACAGAAAACTGATGCACAAATTACACACTGAGCCCCACGGCCCAAGCCTCCTCCCCACCTTTTTTTTTTTTTGAGACAGGGTTTCATTAAGTTGCCAGCTTTACCCAGTCAGGGCTTGAACTTGCAGTTCTCGTGGCCCAGCCTCCCTTATGTTTTAAGTTATCTTTGGGTTACTTGTAAACATCCTACCCAATGCAAATGCTTCATAAATGGTTTACATAAACTATCTACAGTTGTGGAAAGGACAAGACTAATATCTGCACATGTTGCTGGGGATTAAGTTCCAGGGCCTCAAGTGTGCCCAGCACATGCTCAGTCACTGAAATGCACTCCCAGCCAGAGACACAATGTCTTCATAATGAATGTTCTCAGTGTGTGCTTGGCTGAAACTTCTTATCCAGGGGAGAACACCAGGAGAGGAAAGATGACTTTGTTTGCAGAACAATTTTTTGTTGTTTTTGGTTTTTTTCCTTATAATCAGTACTCAACGTGTTGCATATCCTAAATGTGTGCTCAGAAACTAAAGTGGTGCCAGGAAAAAGCTTCAATTAGTATCTGAATCATTGTGTAGGGGTGGGATCATGCCTGTAATCCCAGCTCTCAGGAGGCTGGGGTAGGAGGATTGCTACAAGCTTGAGGTCAACCTGGACAACACTGCAAAGCAAGGCCCTGTCTCAAAAAATAAAAACAAGAAAAAAACCCCACCATTTTATGGGTAACACATGATTGTCTTTAGGCCTGATCATTTTATCTGGTCTCTACCATGCTTTTGACCTGTAAAATTTCATGACAAATTACCAGATGTTTTTATATGAAACTAAAGAAACTAAAATTAATCCTGTGCAGTTAGTGACTGTTTACCACAGGATTTTTGAGGTCTGGACAAAGGCACATTGATGTTAAGAGTCTGAGTAGCTGATTGTCCCAAACCATGCCTTGTGGCTGGCTAGTCCTTTCAACAGTTTGTTGCAGTGCTGACTACTGTGATTTTTGTTAACCAGTTTCCCAAGAACTCCTGTTTTGTGACTTTTTTTTTTTTTTTTTTTTTTGTCTTTTTCATTTTTATTGGTACTGGGGATCGAACTCACGACCGCCTGCTTGCAAGGCAGGTGCTTATGCCGCTGAGCTAAATCCCCAGCCCCTGTTTTGTGACTTTTAGTCTAATCATGATATGTTATGACAAGAATATAATAAAATATGTAGGTTTTAATGTATTGATAGAAGTTTTGAGTGTGGTTATGGAAATAGAGAAACTACTTCGGTAAATGTTGAGAGTAAAAAAGGTTTTTCGACTTCATTGTATTATTCTAGTGAAGAGGAAGAGCTCGACTAGTCCTGTTAATTTTGGCAAGTAGTGATCAGTTTTTGCATTTATCAGTTTTACTTTGAAAATTAAACAGTTGTAATCCAAATTGTAAGATATTAGTAGGTTTGGGGGACTTGGCTGTAATTCTAGCTGCTCAGGAGGCTGAGGCAGGAGAAGCAGAGCCAGCCTGGACCACTTTGAAAGACCCTGCTTCAAAATAAGGGGCACATTCCTGCAGTTCCAGTTTCTTGGGAGGCTGAGACTGGAAGATTGCAAATTTGATAATTTGAGGCCACCCTGAGTAACTTAGTTGCAAGACCCTGTCTAAAAATAAAAAGGGCCGGGCATGTAACTCAGTGGTGGGATGCTGCCTGGTAAGCTTGGCTTGGTTTCTAGTATTATTAAAAGGAAAAAAAAAAAAAAAAAGCCAGAAATGGTGGTGCCTTCCTATAATCCCAGAGCTTGCAAGGCCGATAGGAGAACCACTGTGAATTCCAGGCCATCCTGGCTGTACGGAAATTCTGTCTCAAAAAACTCAAAGCAAAGATAGAAGGGTTAAGATTTTACTGTTTTTCAAAATTGACTCAGTCTGTTTTCCTTCTTTTCCTAGTATTCATGTGATTGAACGGCGCGCACTTCCTGAATTTTTCAATGGAAAAAATAAATCCAAGACTCCAGAAATGTAAGTCTCACACTTTAGATAAGTTTTGTTCCTGACAGGCATTCTTGAAGCACACTTGCTTTTCCTGAGTTTTGAAATGTTTGCCAATGTTTCAGTCCATTGAGAACGTTGTTCATCATTCATTTGCATAGGTTGTTTTTTGATTTTTTTTTTTTTTTTTTTTTTTTTTTTGAGACAGGGTCATGCTAGGTAGTTTAGGCTAGCTTTAAACCTGTATGCTCAAGATGTCCTCAAATTTGCAGTGATCCTCCTGCCTCAGCTGCCTGAGTGCTGGAATTACAGGTGTACCCCACCATATGTGGCTTACACAGCATTGTTTACCTCAAAGGAAATTGTAATTTTTTTTTTCTCTTGCTAAACTTTGAGTTATATTCATATCCCCATGCTGATAGTTAAAGGCAAAATTAAGTAAAGGATGTTTCTCCTGACAGCTCCTGACATGTGTTCACGGATGGATTTGTGTACAGTAATCCGGGAGAAAAAGCGATCTTGGCTTTTATCTCCACGATGAAAGCATGTTAGCTATGAGTGCACAATTGCATCTGAGTGGAGCTTAACAGGGTACAACAGGATTGGACTTTTGCATTGGAAATAGACAAACTTTGCTAGCAAAAATTCTTGTGTTTTCCTCGTCATTTATTGGCCTGTACTGTAGGAAGTGTAAATCACACTTCTCATACCATAAATGCCATTTACTGTGTCCTCATTACTGGTCAGTACAGGAGGGGCATGCAGTTCCTGCGTATGACCAGACAAGTAAGTGAATGGCTTAGTGCTTAAAGTTGTTAAGGAAATTGGCTTGTAATTTTCTACGTGAAATACTTAAGGTAGATAATTTAATGATAAATACTTTCTGCTCTTAGTTTATCCAAGCTAGTTACAAGTTCTAGTTTCTAATGTCAAAAATCAATTTAAGAGCTTTCTAAAATCAGACTCACAGATCTGGTGTAAGAAACAATATTTCTTTTGCCTATTTAAATGTGGTAAATTCTTCAGCTTTTTTGCCTGTTGTATTTGTAAATACTTAGACTTTTGTAGTTTTTCTTCAAAAGCATCATTTCCATTGCAGCCCATTCTGTTGCAGCTCACTGTGTTTGTTCACCCTCAGTGCTTGTGTGTCCAGCTGGCTCTCAGGAGCCTTTCTGCAGAGGGTGTGCTTTCTGCTGTATCAGAGCCAGCCACAGGCTGCCAGGTGCTTTTACTCCTGTGCCAGGAACTCGTGCTAGGTCTCAACTCAGGGTGTTTGAAGATTTTATGACAAAAGTGCTTGCATAGATTGTGGAAATTGTGGCAGGGTCTTGATTTTTATTTCTTTTTTTGAGAATGTTCTTGTCTTACCTCTGACTTTGGCCTCATAGATTCTGCTTGTTGCCTCACAAGTTCTATCTCAAAAGAGCTGTCACAGAAAGGTTTCCGTAGATTTAGTCAGAGGCCGGTCCATGTGTGGTTCCAGGGAGACTAGCGAAGAGGGGAGTCTGAGCACGCAGACTGCAGAGCCAGTGTTCAGTTCTGGCTCTGCCTGTTTTGCCCCACACTCCAAGGTAGTCGGCTAAGTATGCTTCAGTTTTCTTATCCGACACTGTGGGCACGGTGCCTGCTTTATGCAAAGATTTGGAGTATATATTGAGACACTGTGCACATCCTTAAAACTGCTCTTGGCACATAGTATGGGAAGTTCATGGGAGACATCCGAGTACCCATGGATAAGCTGTGGATTCTGCATCTGAGTCCACATGTATCCATTCATCTCTGTGACCAATTTCTTATTTGCCACTTGCCTTTAACATTGTCTTATGGCTTTACTTTGAGTATAAGTTACTCAATACAAAATTGTAACCAAGAAGGTAAAGTGATCTTTAAAAATCAGGATTGTTGGGGCTGGGGATTTAGCTCAGCGGCATAAGCACCTGCCTTGCAAGCAGGCAGTCGTAAGTTCGATCCCTGGTACCGATAAAAAGGAAAAAAACAAAACCCCAAACAAACAAACAAAAAAAAATCAGGATTGTTTGCATTAAAGATAATTAAGTAGAAAATTATTTTAAAATGTAAACAAAAGATATCAGTGGTGGGGTGGTGCCACGTGATCCCAGCCCTTGGGAGGCTAAAGCAGGACGAGCGGAGTTTAAGCCAATCTGGAGTAGCTAGCTGAGTTCAAGGCTAGCCTGAATTGAATAGTGAGCCTGGTCTCAAAAAAAAAATAAAAGGATAGTTTTGCTGTAACACACCCCTACCCCAGATGGACAGAGTGGACACAAAGTAGTACTAGAAAACATGATTTTCATCTAAAATATGCAGATTTGAGCCCCAGGAGCTGTCTGTCGTCTTACTGTTGGCGTCATCCTGTACACCTGAAAGGGGTGGGCAAAGATTTATGGCAAGGCCACTTTCTGTCCTTTAGAGCTTGGTTAACCTTGTCGTTTCATCAAAACAGCCTCCCTGCTTACCTTAGCTGCAGCATTAATAGCTACTGAATGTGGTCGTCCTGGTCTCTGAATTTTTCTTGTGTGTGGTTGTGAGGAGTCTGAATTGTGATTCTGCTATCACTCCTGAAAGGATGCCTGTCCTCTTATCAGTTGTGCTTTTGCTTTTGAGATACCTGGCGTATCGAAACTTTATGATCGACACGTATCGTCTGAATCCTCAAGAATATCTGACCAGCACTGCCTGTCGGAGGAACTTGACTGGAGATGTGTGTGCCGTGATGAGGTAGTGTGTCCTCTGCTCACAGGTCGCTGGCTGCTTGTGTTTCCTATGTATTGCCATGTCACATGGGGCTGATTAACCTAGACGTTTGCCTGCTTAATAAAATATCTTAGGATGTACTATATTTTAGGGTTCAGTATTTTTAATACCGAGTTTTCTAAATTATACAGTTTCCACATTTTATTTTATAGCCAAATCATAAAATGACCAAAAGTGGGAAGTGTATAAACTGTCTAAAGAAAATACTAAAATGTAGCTAATCTGCTATAATTCGAAGTGTGTGTGAGTTCATGTACGGGATCTAAAAGAACATTTATTCTCCTTGTTTCCACAAATAAAATACTAGGCATTTGACTAGGTTTTGAGGTTCTCTATTACCAAACTTAAAAGATTTGTTAAAATTATCCCTCATCTAAAAAAACAAATTTTTTAGGTATTCTGGTTGTTTACAACCTGCAGATAATAGCTTCACTTGTTTTTTCTTTTCTTTTTTAAATGATGCAAAACCTGTAGAGAACAAATTGAGTTTTTAGATTGTCATTTTCAGAGCTTTGTTTTTTTAGGGTTCATGCCTTCCTAGAGCAGTGGGGCCTGGTCAATTACCAAGTTGATCCAGAAAGTCGACCCATGGCAATGGGACCCCCTCCGACTCCTCACTTCAATGTATTAGCTGACACCCCCTCAGGGCTTGTGCCTCTGCATCTTCGATCACCTCAGGTACTGCTGCTGACTTTTCTTCTGATCTAATGGTAACAACCACTTTAAAGCTTCCTCTTGGTTTAAATCTTCCTCTTGGTTTAAATCGTCACTTTTATGCAGTAGTGGTGTTTGTGTTACTTTTTGGCTGACAGCTTGTGTGTGTGTCTCTGTGTGTGTGTGTGTGTGTGTGTGTGTGTGTGTGTGTGTGTGTGTGTGTGTGTGTTTGTATGTGTGTATGAGAGAGAGACAGAGAGAGTGTTTTCTGTTAAAAATGTTTTGAGTCCAGATGGTGTATAGTTGTGTGGTAGAACGTTTATGCATCATTCATGAGACCCTGGATTAGACCCCCGTACCACAAAATGAATGGGTGACTGAATGAATGATTGACTCCTTAAAATATTCAGTGTGTAAGGTTAGTTGTTCATCGGTTCTAAGAATCTCTGCCTTATCCTATCAAGTTATAGACTGATGTACATAGTCTTAACTTCTTTATTCTTCTTCTATACTCTCTGTAATCATGGAGAAAACACAAAATCTTCTAACATGTCATAGAAATGTGAATTTAAAACTCTTTATGATTTGACCAAAGATTTGGAAATATATATTCAGACACGTGTTATTAGTTAGTTAGAGACAGGGTCTCAGTATGTATTCCAGTCTGGCCTTAACTTGTGGTGGTCTTCCTGCCTTAGCCTCCCCAAGTGCTGGGATTATAGGCATGCAACACCACTCCCGGCTTCAGACACATGATAAAAATATAATTTTGCAAAATAAATTATAAGTAACATTAAGTTGGGATAACATGAACCTTCCATTCTGATAAGAGGATCATATTGAAGAAAAATCTGTCTTCTTTCTGTGTGATTTTATTAGACACCAAAAATAATGTTTTTTTGTAGTCTGAATTTGTTTTAGTAGTACAGTGTAATATTGACTGCTGTTTTAAGGTTAGAAAATTCAGTACTAATTTAAGTTGTCAGTGTTAAGTAACTTTTCTGTCCACTTACCTTTGAACAGATTAATGGAGTCATTTATCTTTATCTGACTCATGCATAGGTCCCTGCTGCTCAGCAGATGTTAAATTTCCCTGAGAAGAACAAGGAAAAACCAATAGATTTGCAGAATTTTGGTCTTCGTACTGACATTTATTCCAAGAAAACATTAGCAAAGGTAAGGATATTTTTAAAAGCTCCTGGATTAGTTCTTTGCTTCATTGTTTTTGTTGCTGTTGTTTGAAACTGGGTCTCACTCTTAAAGTTACTGTAACCCAAACTGGCCTTGAACTCATAGTAATCCTCATGTCTCAACCTTCCGACTGCTGGCATTATATAGGCGTGTACTACTATGCCAGGCATCTTTTTTTTTATTAGATAGGATCTTGCTGTGTAGCTTATTTGTCTGTCTGTCTTGTCTTTTGAGATAAACTGGCCTTGAACTCATGGCAATCCTCCTGCCTCATTCTCTCAAGGGCTGGGCTTACAGATGTGTGCCACCATACCCAGTTTACCTGATAGCAGTTTACAGCAGGCTAGGTTACATAGTGTGTCCCTGTGTCCAGAGAGAGATAGAGGAGAGAGAGGGAAGGGAAAGTGGATCGGAACAGGAATTAAAATATATTACGTACGTGTACCAACTCTGCGTAAGGAATGTCAGTATATAGTATGCACATATACTAACAAAAATACTTTTAATGAAGTAATGGACTTGCTGGAATTAGAATTAAGAACCTGTCAGAGTCTCATATATATAGACTGTCTTGTGTTGAAATCTGGAAATAAGTTCCTCTTTCAAATTACACTAAATATTCGTATTATGTTTATAACGTTACAGCATATTTATGATTGAATTAAAACACTGTTCTATGGTAACTTTCAAAGTAATTTGAGTATTTATAAATAATAGAAATAAAAAAGCCAAATTAAGCCAAAAGTCTTAATTGACAAGAAATCTTTAACTACCCAGTGACATTCTTAGGTGTTTTATTTATTGGGGACTTAGTGGTCCCTCTGTGGTTTGCATAAAAGAAAACCCTGAGGTTAAGTAATAACCCTGCTATGCTCCATCTGTATTCATCCTGGAAGGTAAATAGTTATTCTCTTTGTTTCCTTAGAGTAAAGGTGCTAGCGCTGGAAGAGAGTGGACAGAACAGGAGACCCTTCTCCTCCTGGAGGTAAGCAGATTAACGGTGGAGCCTTTTTTCATATAGATGTGTGTTAAGACTCTTGGATTAGCACTCTGAATGTTCATATGTGCGGTGCTCAGTTTAGGAGCTGTTTAATTGTGAGTAAGGTTGAAATGTTTCTGTGGTACCTTTAGGTAGACCTCTGCTTTGATAGCGTATCACAGTTTGTATTACTCCCATTTCACAAAACCAGTTGTTCGAAACATACTTTGACATTTCATTATTTAAAATTTTTTTTTTTTTTTTTCTTTCTCCTTTTTATCGGTACCCGGGATTGAACTCACGACTACCTGCTTGCAAGCCAGGCGCTTATGCGCAGAAACCGCTCTGGAGAGCTAAATCCCCAGCCCCTATTTTTAATTTTTTTGAGACAGGGTCTCACTGTGTAGTTCAAGTGACCTGGAACTCACTGTGCAGCTCTGACTGGCCTGTAATTCACAGCATTCCTCCTGCCTCAGCCTCCAGAGAGCCGGAGTTATAGCCATTCACCACCATTCCTAGCTCACTTTGTTTATTAAAATGGCTTTTGTAACTTAACAAGGAAATGTTTAAATGATCTGGCTTCTTCTGTTGTCGCAAGTGTGTATCAGTGAGTTTGGTCTTAGCTGTCTCTGCCTTGGTTGGCACTACAGTGCTACCACTGCTTGTGCACCCTGAGAACTATGCCAAGGTAAAGACAGACGCAGTGACGGCCTCGCTGCTGTGCGAGTTTTGACCTTAAACCCCTCCTGAAAGGAATCTGGTGTCTGATAATCCCCAGTCGTATTTGAGATAAAGTGGGCCTGGTGACGTCTCTATATGTATATACTTATTTTTCATTTCATTTTATTTTGACATCTTGGTTTCTATATAGTGCTTTGTTTGAGTTGCTCAAGTTGTTCCAGCTGGAGGGTTCTACTAAAAGCCATTAATGTCAAATTAATGTATTTTCTTTCTTTTCTGTGCCCCTTTTCTGTTTTTTTCCTCATGTACGATCTGTATCTTATCTCCTGCCCCATATGATCAAAGTTAGAGTTTTCGTTACAAGGTTTTTGCTCTTTTATTTTCATTTTTGCGTTGACAACTGGTATTATTCCTAGAGCCTCTTTCCTACCAACCTCGTTTATTTTAGGTCTCTCTTTAGTCACACATGCCATGGATGTTAGCAGAGAAGAACAACATTGCAGTACTTGTGCAGGAATATTACTTGCTTGTGGCTGTTTTGGATCTTTGGCTCTTGGGAGAAATCTAATTGTGTAATCTGACTCCTGTGGGGCTCACAGTTCTCTTCTCTTCTCCATTGAGGATTAGTGAATAGTAGCTACAGCATAAGGCAAGGATGATAGAGTGTGGTTTTCCATGGACGTCTCAGAAATCTGCAAAACCCTTGGACAAGAGCACGTTTCCCTTTCTGCATCTAGAACCTGCACTATGGTTGATTTTTGTCTTAGACAAGCAGTCGACTACACACACATCACCTGCCCCTGCACAGGGAGTGAAAACTTTACCAGCAGCTTTGTTTGCCACCAGTGCCTCAAATTACATAGTTAGTTTAGGGTAATTAATGGCTCTCAGGGAAAATTTTTAAATTAATTCATTACCAAAAGCAAATGTAAATCTTCTACAGTAAATCTGGTAGATTCATGGGAGTTTATTTCCAAAACAACAATATACCCTTTTGTTAGACTAATATAGAACACACAGGGAACATTCCAGGTAGTGGTGATTATTCTTCAGATCATCCACTTTAATTTTTAAAATCTTAATTTTTTTTGTTTTTTCGTATTTTTTTTTTAGTACTGGGCATTGAACTCATGACCTCACACTTGCCAGGCAGGCACTTATCCTGCTGAGCTAAATCTCTAGCTAAAAATCTTAATTTGATAAAGGCTCTTTATCAAATCACAGTTTCTGAGCAAACACTGAATATCTTTGGTCACGTTCACTTCCGTATCTCAGTATAACTGTTGGAGGCAAACTGGGCAAGGTGCTGCTTGTCTGTAACCCTGGCACTCTGGGTGGCCCAGGCAGCCTGGGCAGCTTAGCAGGGCTTTTTCTCAAAAGGAAAATGGACTAGGAAGGCCCTCAATTCAATCTCCCACTACCACTTCTTTTTTAAAAAGTTACTGATTTGAAAATAATGATCCATTTTGAGTATCATGGAAAGGGTAAATTCTTTTCCTGGTAAGTGCAATATTACGATTAAGATAACTAGGACAGGGCTGTGGATTTAGCTCAGCAGCATAAGTACCTGCCTTGCAAGAGCGCAGTTGTGAGTTCGATCCCTGGTACTGATTAAAAAAAAGAAAAGAAGGTAAAGATAACTAGGTCATAATCCTACCATTGATGTAGATGAAACACAAAACTTGAATGCAGTGTTTCTAGTTTTATGGTTTGAGGGGTCCCCACAGCATAGGACACATAAAAGAGGAGTTTCTGTTCAAGTGCTCTCCGTGGGTAAGATGGGCAGTGTCCAGGGACCACTGGTTGTCTGGTTTTTGGCACAGAGCACACCTTGTGTAGGATGCTGCCCAGCAGTGCCATTGTGGACTGTAGGCATTGTTAAAACTTGGGAGGAGGGAGGGAGCACAGTACAAGAAGCAGGCCACAACCTGGTTGTACTTGATCTTTGTTCCATAAAATAGTGATGATCAGTGAAACCATTTTAGGCAAGGAAGCAGTGTTTTGTGTGGAGTATGCCTCTGGCAGCAAAGGAGGGTGAGTATAAGTAGAGAGGACAGGCGATTTCTAAGAATCCAAGCATGTAATGGCGTGATCCCGGGCAGTGCCAAAGAAGCAGAGGGGTTTCGTGTTGAAACTGTGCACTCCAGTCTTTGCTGTGGCACTCTTCCTTTACTGCGTTCCTGGTCACCTGTCATTGTCTCCAGGTTGCTCCAAGTTGTTCCTTGCTTACTGCCACAGTCAGTGCCCAGGTGGTACCATTTACTATTTCTTACCTCTGTGCTTTTCAGGATGCTAATTTTTGCTTGGATTTTTTTCATTCCAAAGGGTTTCTCAGCTCCACGTTTACTCTAAGAAGAAAAAATCAGACTTTTGAACTTAGTTTTGTTCAGAAATGAATAAAGAAAATTTTAAATGTCAAGTTAGTTGTGAAAAATTAAGTTAGAAGATGCCCAGCCTATAATGAGGAATTTAGGCAGCCCCTGTAGATATATTTCTGGCTCCAAGAACCCTAATGAGATAGTTATATTTTTCTTTCTTACAATGTGAGGTTTTTTCTTAAGTATTTCAAAACAACCTGAATTACTCTTATTTTTCGAGGTTAATTAGCTAGTAAGACCAGTTCCAGGCGTGGCTTTGAAATCCTTTAGCATTCTATCAAGAGTGAGCCCAGGTTATACTCACTGAAGCAAATAAACATGGAGAAAATGATGATCACCGAAAACACATCTTACAGAAATTAGGTTTTAGAGCTGTTTGTGCATTGCAGCACTATTGACACGGTGGATCCCATCACTAGGACTTAACCAGCATGTTGAAAGAGTTGGGTTCAACCCCAACACTGGCAGAAAGTTAAAAAAAGAAACAGCTCTGGAGAGAATGACTTGTGAATAGTAGCTTCAGTAAGCCACTAGAGATCTTTCTACCTCCAGGTAATGTTTTTTTAAAAGCAGTGCTGAACAGTGAAATCAGGGCCTGGTGTCCTACCACTAAGGGTCTCACAACGTAGTTTAGGTTGGCTTTGGGCTTACTTGATAGCCCAGGCTGCTCTCGAACTTACAATGATCCTTCCTGCCTCAGCTTCCTGAGTGCTGGGATTACAGGAGTGCGCAACCACAGAACTTTTTGACTTTCTTACCATCACATATTTTGGTTTTCTTCTCATTATTCCCTCCTCCTTCGATAATCACCTTACTGTCTTACTGGAGTCCTTCAGAATTTACTGTGAGAAAAATCACAAATTTTAAAACTTGAATCAGGATACAATGGAACATTACTCAGAAAAGAAAAAAAACTTGAATCAGGGTACGGTGGCATATACCTGTGATCTTAGAATTTTGGGAGTCTGAGGCAGGAAGGTTGCAAGTTTGAGTCCAGTCTTCGCATCATAGTGACTTCCTAAGACCCTGTCTCAGAATTTAAAGATATGGAAAAAGAACTGGAATTGTAGCTTACCCAGTGGCCCGTTACCCAATTCCCAAAAGAATCCTGGATGTTTGTATATTTTCTAAATTTTATAATCTGTTTGTCATTTCCTACCCCAAAACATCCTTGCTGAGAGGTTGATATCTATTACAGTAAATCTGTGGTTCAATTTGAAAAAAAATGGATATTTCAATATGTAACTTGTAATGCGTTAAATATACATAACTCTTCATTTCTTTAGGTCTTTGAGTTCTGTCACTATTTTTCTTCCCAGCATACTGATATATTCTATAATGTATTTCTTCCTGTTTCATTTTTATGCTATTTTAAATATTTTTCTAGTTGAAAATTGTTCACTGCTGTTATAATAGAAACAGCTTTTCAGTTTCTCTTCAATCGTGTGACTTCACTCAGGTGTTTACTTTGGCTCCTTTTTTGTAGCTTCTTCAGAATTTCTACATGAACAATTATGTCCATATTAGAAAAGGACAGTTTATTTCTTCCTTTGTACCGTGTATGCCTATTTACAGTTCTTGTGTGATTGAGAGCTCTTTTGTTTGAACCAGGAGGTTTCGTCATATAGCTGAGATTGGCCTTGAACTTGTGATCTTTCTGCCTCAGCTTCCCTAGTCTTGGAATTACAGGTGAGGGCCACCACACATGGCTTTGACTTAATAGAAGGAAAACTTGTGTTAGCTGTTTTTTTTTTTTTTTTTGAAACCCATTTTATTTCAAAGAGAAAAAAGAAAAGAAAAAAAACCCCAGAATTTCAAAGCATGTCAATCAGGGGGCAACAGTGCATTGTCATCCCCAAATCATTCACCCAGAGCACAAGGCACCTGCAGTCAATCCAAATAATACCAGCACAAATCTTTCAGAGAAACCAGCAGTGTAGCTGTCTT